ATGGTATTTGCAATTATGTGATAAAAACACCCAAGATGGAGGTGTGATGTATTGCATAGGAACGAACACTCCAGTAATGGAAAAAATGCCCAATGCATACTGTACAAAATCAATGAAATGTCAACAACACCAGATGTCTTTAGACTCTGTGACCACTGACTCCAACATTTAACAAACTAGATGCCATCAGATTTTGACCTAAGAACCTAAGAGTGATTTTTTTTTAATACACCAGAATACGTCATTAAAACATGTTTCTAGAAGCTCCTTTCACACATTTTCAAAACAAGGAACATCTTGTCTCAGGGAGCTGCAGAAAACCTAATCTATGCATTTGTCACTTCTAGACTGAGCCATTATGATGTTCTATTAGGATGTCCCAGCAATTCTCTGAAAAGCTTCCAGCTGACCCAAAAATTCTGTAGAGAGCATTCTAATTAGATATTTGCACATTATACTTCTCCTGCTTCAGCCTTGTTGCCTCTATATGAATCTGGAGCAAAGCTTGAACTTCTACTCTTGACAAACAGCATAAAACTTATTAAAACTAAGCTACATCATCCGAAGAGGTTCAAATGAAAGCAAATGGACTTATTTGGTTTCTTGAAGATGTTTGGCTTCTAATCTGAGGAGCTTTGTCAGTTGACAAACTGACACAAAGAGTAAAACCATAAAGTAATTTGGGATGCAACGATACCACTTTTTTTCGAAACCGATACGATACCGATACTTGGATCTGAGTACTCGTCGATACCGATTACTGATACCGATACTTCTACCACACAAAAAAATGCAATGAATTGGAACACAGGTTTTATTTTCTTCTCTGCTTTCAAAGGGAAAAGACTGTGAGGTAGATCAAAAGTAAAATATGTTAATATAAATGATCACAAAACTAAAATATTAGGTGAACTAAAATGACAAGTTACAGTGAAGTCACTTTCAAGCAACTGCATTGGTGTCGGTTAAATTTTACCGATACCGATACTGGTATCAGTATCTGTATCGGCACCATCCCTAAAAGTAATACACCAAGCTGTCTCATAATTCGTACTTCTGTATTAAATTGCAAAACTATAAAACACATGAAAAACCATTTTACTTCATGTGATAACAAACATGGATTGCCATGACCTGGATGACTGAGAACCTTCCCCTAAGATACATCATGTTTTAGCAGTTCTCAGATAGTAACATAATATTCTTTCAAAGCTCTTCGTTCTTAAGCTGAATGCTTTCTTGTGGCTCCTAAAGGATCCAAAAGGAAGGAAGAAAGGTAAATCCTTCAGTTTCCACCCTCCTCTCTAGTGAAAACCAGCTCAAGTTGGTAGATGACTACTCCTTGATTGTTAGTATCAATCTTAAAGCTTTACTTAATAACCCTTACAGTTGGGACCAGATTGGTTAAACCTGAGTGACCTCTTTGCCCAATGTTTGTCTATTTTCCTTCCACTTCTCATCTACTAAAGGTGGATTTACAGCTGTGTGATGGAATTGTCTTAATGGGAGTTTTTCCTCTAAAGTGTCATCTGGCACTTTTTGCATGATGAAGAATTTAACAGATAAAACATAAAACACAATGTACAGTCATTTTATTGAAAGTTTGTGTTTTATAGATGAAACAATGTAAAAAGCGACACAAATCAATAAAAGTGTCCAAATTATAGCCAACACAAATATCACTATAGAAATCTATGATATTCTGATGTGGAAGAATGCTAAAAAAAACTCATGATTCGTCAAATCAGTGTGATCAGACATTTTTGTAGCTATCATTTGTGATGGGTGCCTCTAAGATTCAAAACCAAAACACAGAAAAAAGTATTTGGTAGGAGAACCTAACTATATGAAACAAATAGGAATCCTGCAGGTCAGTCATCACTGCAGCACTTGCAGATGCTCAGATATTAGATTCAAGATTGTTTTATTGTCATTGTACAGGACAGGTGTACAACCAAATTGTCTTTGCACTCGTTTAAAGACATTTATTGTGAGATGGTAGTACGTTATATATAAATAACAAGGCTAAGGTCACACACCCACACACTTCTTTCACACACACACACACACACACACACACACACACACACACACACACACACACACACACACACACACACACACAGTCTGTTTAAGATGCACAAATGTAGTCTAAGTATAAAAGTAAACATGGTCAAGACAAATCTAAAATATAAAGTGAAACATAAAGTAAACATAAGATAAATGTAAACAGAGACATATGTTAACCCTTTCATGCATGAATAATGAAATCTTCAACCATGATTTTTTAACAATTTTTTTCATTCATCTTTAGGTGTGAATGAAACAAATTTCAACAAATATTTTTTACAACATTTAATAATTTACAAATAATTTACATGTCCATCTCAGTGGACAGCGTGCATTCAGAACATGAAATATGTTGGCTTGACTTACTGAAGTCCAAATGGAGGGACTCACATGCAATAAAGTCTTGAACAGCTGTGCCTAATAGCAAAAATAAATAAATAACAATTTTGAGTACCTGTCCACTGTAGTGGCCATTATGCATCAAAGGGATAAAGGTATGGTTCACGCAATACATTTGCAGTGATCTCTGGTAGGAATGAATGCCTTGCGAGCCATTCTCAAGGCAAAAAAAGCCCAAAGATGTTTGGATCATCAGGGACAAATCTGTTGCAGCAGAATGGCACAACATGACAGGATATTGAGTCTTATTTTCCTGATAATTGGGTGTTTTTGCCTTGGATTGGATAACAGCAACTCTACCACTGACTTGCAACATGGATGTTTTATCTCCACAGTTGCAAGCCTGGAGGAGTTTATCTGTGTGGTGGAGTTGCTAATGCTAACGGTTAGCTTCTACTAGTTGGGACGTTGTCTGCTGAATCCTGGATGTTAAATCAACAACAGCCTTCCCCATCACGTAGATCTGTCAGACTGTTCAAATCCTAGAGTTTTACCATCTATTTTATATCAGAAGCTAATGCAGGAGATAGATGTGAGAGAATATTTTCTGACTGATTATAATCAGAAAAAATTATTTAAAAAATATTTTTCTGCGTCCCACACCTTTAAGGTGTCACAAGAGTAACTAGCTAAATGTAAAAGTGCTGCAGTGCGTCCAGCAGAATCCCTGTTTGTGTGACCTCAACATTCAGTTCAGTCATGGCTCTTGCATAAAAGCAGCCTTGTGGCGCGTGTTTTCATTGCCCTGTATCGTTTGCCAGACGGAAGAAGAGCGGTGAAGATGTCACCCAGGGCAGGCAGGCAGGTGTGTGTTTGTTATTTTCTCTGCAGTTTTGATCACACTCTGCAGGACTTTCCTCTCAGCTGCAGAGCTGCTGCTGTACCACACCAGATTGGTTGGTCAGGACAATCTGCATGGAGCAGCGATAAAATGACACCAGCAGTTTTTGTGGCAGGTTGATCTTCGTGATAGCTTTCAGGAAGTATAACCATTGTTGAGCCTTTTCTAACAGATATTTTCATGTTTCGGCTCCGTGTGAGGTTCTCCCATATTTTTGTGCCCAGGAACTTTAACAGTGACACCCTCTCCACTTCTTTATTAGCATCAATACCAACTTATGTAAATTATAAATGTCTCATCTCAGTGGGATTTTCTGGTAATATCCATCCATCCATTGTCTGAATCCGCATGTCCACGCAGGGTCGCGGGGGGGGGGGGGTTCTGGTGCCTATCTCCAGTGGTCAATGAGCAATCAGGCGGGTAGCCCTGGACAGAGAGCCAGTCCATCACAGGGCAACACAGAGACACACAGGACAAACAATCACACACTCACACCTAGGGACAATTTAGACAGACCAACCAACCTAACAGTCATGTTTTTGGACTGTGGGAGGAAGCCGGAGTACCCGGAGAGAACCCACGCATGCACAGGGAGAACATGCAAACTCCATGCAGAAAGATCCCAGGCTGGGAAGCGAACCCAGCACCTTCTTGCTGCAAGGCAACAGCTCTAACGCCACTGCGCAGCCATTTTCTGGTAATATAAAAGTATAAATAAAAATTAACTCAAATGGATGCATAGATGCTATGAAGACAAGCAAAAAGATGTGTGACTGTGTGCTATTGCTGTAGAGAGGAGCTAAACAGCTGCCCTGGGGGAGGGGCTGCCCTTGACTATGCACTAGATGGATGGAAGGGATCATGAAATACTATATTAAAGTAAAATGAACAAATGAATCTATTATTGAGAGTGCACATAAAACTCGGAGAAACAGCATCATTTTTGCACACATGCACAGGTAACCCATCATTCTGCTAATGACAGGTTTATACAGATGTGTCAGAGTTTGCCCACATCCTAATGATCATCTCAGTGAATGAGGCTCCACAATATGTTGAAACACTCCCACCAGACCGTATTTATCTAGAAATGATACAAGCAGATGATGACAGTAGGCCTGTGGTCCTTATATGTCATCACTAATCACAGTGACTCACAGTTTTACAGCAACAAAACGTGTCTTAAGCGGAAACTCCAACATACACACCCTGTCAGGGGCTTGTGTGACGTTCAGCTGGGCCAAAATAGGGTCACAGGATAAATTAAATAGGAATAAGAGTCGAACCTCGATAGCCAGACCTAGCTAATGGCAAACCTATTAATTCACAGACAATAAGATGGTGATTTGACATGAAAATACAACGGATGCAGGATTTGATGCCAAAAGACGCGCCTGAATTCATGTTTAAGAGTTAAAGAATAAAACACATAAAAGGTTCATCACCTCCTTCACAATGCTGCTTGTCATGCACTGCTAGCTTGTAGACCCACATCCTGTTTTAGCACTAAACAAGCATGAACCCTTTGACGTGTGCTCTCATTATGAACAAAAGTGGAGCAGGTGAATTAAAAGCAGTGCTTTAGTTTGAAGTTTATTGGCCCACTGAGAGGAGAGACAACACATAGCTATCTAAAAAATGTGCTAAAGCATCCCTCAGTCAACCCCAAGAGCCCCCTCCCCTCCCTTACCTTCAGACAGCTCTAGATCCAACTCCGCCAACTGGTCTCGAGCCTCTTTTGGCAGGGCGGACAAATCAACGCCGCGGTCTGCCATAATTTCGCCGAAAAACACAAAAACCGTCGAGCTGAAAAGAAACCAGGGTGTCGGTTCGAAATGTTAAAAAAACTAAAATAAAACCCCTTCCTCAAAAAACAAAACAAGCATCGGAGTAGGAGAGACGGCCCATCCGCACGGCGTGCCCTTCCGCCATAATGGGGAAAACTCACCAACGGCAACGTACGATCACATGACCGGCATCACCTCGCCTTGCCTCTGTTGCTCCACAGCTTCCGAGCCGTCTGTGACAACGAAAACACGGCTCCCCCTGGTGTTCTACTAGCGAAACTACAACCGCTATTCTCCAATTTAAAGGCCACCAGCACCTCCAAAGAATCCACAAAAATCACCGAATACTGGGCAGGAAAAAGATCTTTATGTACTTTTAATAGAGGTAGGAAAGTCTGACAAACTGTTGTGGCTTTTTCTTTTTTTATTCTAAGGAGCCATACCTTTTGCAATATTTTAAATGGATCTTAACCCTTTGGTGCATAATGGTCACTACAGTGGACAGGTACTCAAAATTGTTATTTATTTATTTTTGCTATTAAGCACAGCTGTTGAAGACTTTATTGCATGTAGCCCCTCCATTTGGACTTCAGTAAGTCAAGCCAACATGTTTCATGTTCAGAATGCACGCTGTCCACAGAGAGGGACATGTAATAAATTATTTGTAAATTAACAAAATATTACAAAAAATATTTGTTGAAATTTGTTTCATTCACACCTAAAGATGAATAAAAAATTGTTTTAAAAAATCATGGTTGAAGATTTCATAATTCATGCATCAGAGGGTTAATATTGAAGCTCTCCAAATTTGCAAGGTTGTACAACGATTTTACCTAGGCTTTGTTTACTTGTTCGCCAATTTTTTCTCTAGCTCTTGTAACTGATGTGGATTTATCTGGCATGTTAAGTGGAATAAAGTTTTAGTTTTCCAGTGGATAAAATCTTATCTGGTTGCTTTGTGCCTCAAAACAGTGGTGTGTCCAAGCTTTTTAAAATGGGGTGGCCCAGGTGGAGCACCTGTAATGCATGAGTGGCACCCAATGTAGTTCTTTTACATTTTTTTTCTAGGGGTTGGGGCACCATATCAATATTTTTTTTATTTATTTATTTTTGTATTCCAGTGTATTTGTGAGTTCCACTTTGTGCATTATCCATTTTTTCTCTCTACTCTTGTTTTTCAGATACATTTTCAATTCAATTCAAGTTTATTTATACAGCGCCAAATCACGACAAGAGTCGTCTCAAGGCACTTCACATAATAAACATTCCAATTCAGGACATTTCATTAAGCCAATCAGAAATAATGTTTCCTATATAAGGAACCCAGCAAATTGCATCAAGTCACTGACTAGTGTCAGTGACTTTACAGCAATCCTCATACTAAGCAAGCATAAAGCGACAGTGGAGAGGAAAACTCCCTTTTAACAGGAAGAAACCTCCAGAGAATCCTGGCTCAGTATAAGCAGCCATCCTCTACGACTCACGAGAAGACAGAGCAGACACACACACACACACACACACACACACACACACACACACACACACACGCACGCACGCACGCACGCACACACGCACATACACACACACACACACAAAGACAAGTAATGTGTCTATAGTCATATTGTGATGTCTTAGTAAATATTCTATTTGGTGAGAGATAAACTTTATTGTATTTATCCTAGTGGATCTATAATTAAACGGATAAACTAGTAGTAGCACATCCAACGTCAAGGAAAGCAAAAAGTTATTATCAGGAGAGGGAGAATGTTTTAGTGGTTAGCAGCAGTGTGCTAGACGATGGCCCCCTCCATGAGGCCACCACAGCTCAGCAGAACATCATTGTCGCTTCTTCTGGGGAGAAAAACACTTAGAGAGAAAATAAAGTTAACAGCTGAAATTGCAGAAAATAATACAGTTAAAGAGCAGATTGTAGAAGAAAGCAGTAGAGTGTGAAAAGTGGTCAGTGTGTCCTCCAGCAGTCTAAGCCTATAGCAGCATAACTACAGCGATAACTCAGGATAATCTATCCTATTTAGATGGAGGCATGTTGGAGTCAGGGCACACATAGTAAACATTCCAATTCAGGTCAGTTCATTAAGCCAATCAGAAAAAAGTTTCCTATATAAGGAACCCAGCAGATTGCATCAAGTCACTGACTAGTGTCAGTGACTATACAGCAATCCTCATACTAAGCAAGCACTTAGCAACAGTGGAGAGGAAAACTCCATTTTAACAGGAAGAAACGTCCAGAGGATCCTGGCTCAGTATAAGCAGCCATCCACCACGACTTCCTGTACTTTCTTCTTCCTGTAATCTGTAGGCATTTTCCTTCTCTTTGAACAGTTTTGTAGTGGTTGGCAAGCCACTTCTTGCTGCATTACCACCACTAACTGGAGTGGAGTGAGGACCAGGCCTCAAAATATTATTTATGTCAATATGAAACAAATATCAAAGAATGATAGCAATATATACATTTTCTGTGGACCTAGGCCAGAAACCAATGTTTAAAGGTACATGCTTCATCCTACTGTTTTTAGGATTTACCTAACCCAGAGCCTTTTGTGGACAATGCAAAGTCAAGTTAAACAGAACTCAGTGGAGTGGCACCTGAGCTGGCCTATCAAGTTCCAAGGTGGCATGTGCTACCCCAGGCCACTCCCTGGACACGCCCCTGCCTCAAAATCCCAGGCCTACTCTTTAAATGCACAAACATATTTTAAAAAGTAACACTAATAATTTCATTTACACATCAAATTGCTCTAATTCATAAAATAATAAATCATGCAATTATAAACCAGAAGATTGATCATGTCCCCACAATTGAAACAGAAACATTCATGTTTTTGTCAGAACAAACCAAACAGCGTGATGTCCATTAGGATGTAGTTTCTTTAATTAAAATTGCAGCACTGTAAGTGTTCATGGTATACCACTCGGACATGCATGGAAAAGTAAATATATTCATATAGTACAGATATGTGCAGGACCACATGTTTTCTGACAACCATCAGTCTGACAATGGGAGTGTATACTATGTGCAACTTACACATTGTTGCATTTTCTTCCTTTAAAATGCTCTTTTTATATAAAAATTCTAACAAGAAAAGGTCAAAAACTGAAATGAAAATTGTAAATTGACCAATTTCAACAATAAGTTAGACAAGGATAGTCAGGACAGACAAAATTCATCTTTGAAGGTAGAAACAAAGATAACCTGTTCTGTTAAGAGAGAAAACCAGAGTAGCTGTTAAAGAAATTAGCCTCTATATTCATCAGTACAATCATGTGTTATAAGAAAAATAAAAGAACAAATATAAAAACAAACAGGAAATGACCAAAAAAGGTGCCCATCACACAAAATAAAACCAAGTACATGAATGCTAAATAAAGTTTGAATTCTCATTTGATATAAACATTCTATCTGGGACCGTTGACTAAATATGGAGCCAACAAGTTCGAACAAACACCAGGGTCGCCATTGGGACAGTAGAGGTTCAGTCAGAGGTTAAAACTTTAAAGTAGATGGCAGAACTGTAAATACAGTACGAGAAAGTGTTAGGACCCCAGGGACAGGGGAGCGCTGCAAGGTTTCAGATCGGCCGGACAGAAAAATAAAGTTACTATAACTTCTCGTTACTTTAGTGCATAGAGACAAGTCTGTATGATCACAGACTTTCATGCTTTTGAAATATCAAATTAGACAAGGACAGGGAGTACAAAAGGAAAACGTATTTCTGCAAAACTGGAGCCTTTAAAGCGTTTCTCCTGTCCACTGCACTTCTCCACCAGATGACAAACAAGCCCTGCTATCATTTCACACTCATCTTTCACTGAAGCAGCTTGGAGTTTATTAAAAACAGTCGATTCATAAAATATTGAGCAATCTTCAGAAGGAAAAAAAGTCTGTCTTTAATTTGACGAACTTAAACAAATTAAATGTATTAATCCAAGAGTCTTTTGTTTGTCTAATCTGCAAATCTGTAAATGTTAAGAGGGCAAATCTGAGGCACAAACGTGATTTTAAGGCAAAATTCATTAGAAACGGTGTGTGAGGTAATTAAAGAGTAATAAACGAGCAGTGATACTCTAGACTGTGTTCCTGTCACACCATAAGAATAAACAGCAAGTGATCTTTGGAGAGTCACAGATCTTTTCTCATGTCTTTATGGCTTGGTTTAGGTTTGGTAAAGAGCAAAGAGACTAGAAGGTTCATTGCACTTCCAAAAAGCAGCAAGGATGATCAACCATCCTGAGAAGGGTGGAAATAACAGTTATATGGAGTCCTGGACCCACACAGAAAAACAGTCACTAAGGTCATTTTATATATATTTTGTCTTAAAGGCAATGGACTTACAAATCAGTTCAAAAGTTTTTTGTGTTTTTTAGAAACACCTGAAGCAAGCTAGAGGTTCAATTCCCTTCAAGTCAGATTAAAAATGCTTGATTTGAAGTTATAAACAAATGAATTTTGGTTCTACGGACTAACATGGGAAGGATGATATGCTGCTGAGTTCAAATCAGAGAGCTGCACAGATTTCACCCAATCATAAAAAGTCACATGCTTACAACCCAGCTAATAACTCTGAAGTAGGTTAACTACTATGTCTGCTCTACATAAATATACAACCACACACACAGATAATACGTTTGACCATAAATGGGGTGTTTAGGAGGTAAGGTTAATGAGTTTGTGTTAAAATCACATTGAAGTGGAACCATTTTCAAAAGATCTGCTGAGTTATAAAGATCTGAACATCATGTTGATGATCTTTTGAGCTGAAGATGTACGGAGGTGTGTGTGTGTGTGTGTGTGTGTGTGTGTGTGTGTGTGTGTGTGTGTGTGTGTGTGTGTGTGTGTGTGTGTGTGTGTGTGTGTGTGTGTACATACCTGCTAACTTGGAAGGTGTAAAATGACAGCTAAAATCAACAAACCCCAGGGAACACAAGGCCCTCACATGCTGCAGATTTGCAATAGTGGGTTTTATTGTGACCTCTGACACTTACATATTTTTTTTGCTATAATAATCTGTTGTAATTGTTTTAAAAAAATCATAAATGTAATTTATTTTTATTTTTATTTTTTTTTGCATTATGCAAACCATTTTCTATCACAAGGTTTAGACAGTCCCTCTGCTCAGTAGAAAAGAAAAACTATGCCTGACAAAACTGATCAGAAAATGATTAGGGGTCATTATATAATTATTGAGACTACCAAATATGAAAACATCTGAAAATATTCCAGAATACTGTAATCACCCTTAAGAAGTTATTGTTATGTGTTCATGAGTGCTGCTGCTCTGATCAGTTGGTTGTGATTAAAAGTTTAGAAAGAGCTGCAGCTTTTCTCAGTTTGTATTCCAGCATCCTTAAAGAGACGATGTGTAGTTTTTACCATTAATCTCTGGAAATCTCCTTCGAAATGTTGTTGAAAATGAATTAAATGAGGTCCAGTTGTTGAAAAATATTGGCGGCTTTGTGCATATAACCATAGACATCGGGTCTAAAATTCCCGGGAGAGGGTCCAAGTCGGAGTGACACCATATAAGACGCCTTATTTTCTTTTAGAGGGAGCCCGTGAGGACAAGATGCATTCACTGACTTGTAACAAATGGTTATAAAACTTTCTGCATTCATAAACGTTGTTTTACACATTTATCTCTCCGCTCGTTGTCTGTGATGAAAGCGAGTCTGATGTTCTTGTCATTTTGCTGGAGGTTGCGCTCCCAGGAACTTTTGACCCTAATGGCCATCCGTTTGTAAGGTCTTACTCCAACACAAAAATACTGCTTTCTTATAATAATTTAGATATGTACTGCCCCCTATTGCCAGGGAAAATACACATTGTCACTTAAAAATTTCTAGTGCCTAAATCAATAAATTGGGATGTAATTTATCCCTCCCACTGTCCTAATGGGTGTGACCCCGCGAGGAAAGTTGACCATTGAGCAGGATTGGTTTATCCCTTGAGGTCCACGTGGCAGAGGTGAGGAGTGAGCACCACCTCACCTCTGCCACGTGGACCTCAAGGGATAAACCATCAATCCTGCTCAATGGTCAACTTTCCTCGCGGGGTCACACCCATTAGGACAGTGGGAGGGTTAAACAAATAAAGCTGTAGCAGGCTGGCAGCCATTTCTTACCAGAAAAAAAGCATTTATGTTGCCAATATTAGGTTTTAATGGGGTTAAAGGAGGTAAACGTGCTGAAGTCCTTGACAGAAAATTATGTTATTTAGTGGTGATTTTGTTTGATTTGACGAACTTTAAGCTCGAAACCGCTGCGAGGTGCTGAAGCTTCAGTAGTCATACTGGCTGTGAGAGGCGCTACTGAGAAGTCAAAGCAAAACTCTTTGGATCCATACGATTCACGCGAACACCAGACTTGCCTTCAAAAATGTCGATTCTCACCAAAAAGGTACAAGTTTGCAGGTATTGTGTGTGTGCGTGTGGCTCAAGAATCCAAGAACACAAGGCACTACGCCTGGCTGAAACCAGGCTACAGCCCCATGTGTTGGATCTAATTTGACGGAGGACGACTGTGTACATGTCGTTCATCTGGACAGATCATTGCAATCCCGTACAGTCACCTCACGAGTCGTTTTACACAGATAAAAGAGCAGGATGGTGGTGGTGGTGGGGGATAGATTTAGATTTGGAGTCCAGCCCCTGTAGTTTATGGCAAAGGGAACAGAACGCTCTCCCAAAAGTCTCAGTCCATTACCAGAAGGCTGCTGCTGAGCTCCAGGCCACAGCGTGATGGCTCCACAGGAAGGAAGCAGAAGATGTGAATTTTACACTTGAAGGTGGTAGGTGGTGATGACAACAGGAGCCAAGTGTGGGCCAGCGCTGGTGCTGCTCATCATCTGGCAGCAGACTGAGACTGTGCAGCCATGATGATGTGAGAGGCTCTGCTCTCAGCCCTCTGCTGTTGGCCCATCCCCGCCAGCACAGACATGGCCATGGCCTCTTCTGCCGCCCTTGAGCTGAGACCGTTGTGGCCTGCAGAGGGACTCGGTGCCAAAGAGCTGTGCTGAATCACTGGGGCTGGGGAACCTGTAGGCTCTGAGGTGTCTTTCAAACTGTCTTCTGCAGCTACAGGAGGAAAAGAAACAGCAAAAGCACTTTTAACTTTAAACAAAAACATATAACAGTTCAGCTAGCCTACAACAAATGTCTAAATTCTTGTGTTTTCCACAGGGAAAAACCTCCACCTGCCTGACTTGTTATCTGGTGTGTTTGACTGTGAGATTATTGTTTGCACAACTGGGTGCACAATGTCAACTACCGGTGCAACTCAGATGTCCATTTGGCCAGCCAAGAAAACAGAGAAATTCCTGTGATCTTCCTGTTGCGGGCTTGCTTTTATAAGACAGAATCAAGTTTCCTCTTAAGGGAGACTTTAAATATCCCTGTTGGAGTAACAATATATACTTATACCATTGCAGGGCCTTACCCAAATAGGCCGTCTTCTTTTGTAGGTTGGTTACTGGACAGTCTTTGTGGGCCAGCAGCAGCTGCTTTAAATGAGCCACCTCGTTCCGCAGCAGAGACACCTCGTTCTGGGGGGAAAATAAAAAATAGATACTTTAAACTGCAAATTATGGTTCCACAAACACAACAAGTAACACCGCTGCTGTGTCTTCACGCTTAAAATATACTTTTCTTTAGTTTATAGTGTTTTATTGCAGAAACTGTCATGCAAAAACTCAATAAGACAAACACAATAAAGATCTGGAATCCATGTCTCTGACTTCCTAAACTAGTTGGAAGCTTGAAGGCTGTCTATCTCATCCCCGCCCTCCCACTTCCAAACCCACTCACCGACAGCGAGACGTTCAGAGAACTCAGCTCCTCTGCCTTTTTCTCCAGAGAGCTGACCCACAGCTTGCGTTTCTGTCTGCAGCGCGATGCCGCCGCCCTATTCCGCTCCAGGAAGCGCTGCCTTCGCTCATCTGGGTCATCGTCTGTCGTTCGCCGCCGACGCCCACCTGTAGGCTGCGCTGGAGATACCTTGAGGGAAGAGAACGACAAAAGGTCAAAAGGAAACAGACGGATAGGTGGGAACGGAAGAACGACGAGAAAGAAAAGGGAAGTTTGAGTCACAGTTTCGTTATTTAAAGCCAACAGCACATGAGACGAAACCTAAACTTTCTGCAACTTCTCAGCTTCAAAGCTGCATTTAATCATTTCACTTCTGTGTGAAAGAGCAGTACCTGAGGCTGTGCAGGTGAGGCAGCATCTGGATGCTGGACGAGAACCTGGCTCTGTTCTGCTCTCTGAGGCACCATGGGGCTGCTGCCCATAGCCATGATCCCCATGTTCTGTCCAGACGGGCTCTGCTGGGACAGTGCAGCCTTCAGACGCTGCAGGAGGCAAATGAAATGAGCTCAGGGGAGTGAAGTTCTCCAGCCACTGACTGAACAAAAACACAGACTCGCGACTGCAGAACAAATCAAAGACTAGAGAAGCTGAGGCAGTAGTGCTGTTGTTAGTTTGTGTTCAGGGATTAGGCTAGATTAATCTGGGAGTAAGAATAACCCCATCAAGCCTTCCATTATGTATTTATTTTCCACTGCTAATACAGCTAAACAACTCATGGCTGCTCTGGAACATAACATCTATGGTAGCTTCAAATCAGGTTTCCATAGAGCTCTTTCTACTGAATCAGCTCTTCTTAGGGTCTCTTAATGATTTCCTGACTCACAGTGATGCAGGGGACTGATCTGTTCTGGTCCTGCACGACCTGACTGCAGCCTTTGACACTGTTGACCATCACCTGCTACCAGATGGGCTGACAAACTGTGTAGGCCTATCAGCAACTGCTCTGGGGTAGTGAGCGTTCCTTCTATGTGGCTGTCTCACACCACCACCTCCCGCATCCATGGTGTCCCGCAAGGTTCTGTGCTGGGGCCTATACTGTTCCTCCTTTGTCTGCTCCCTCTTCAGCGCATGCTGAGCTCTTTTAAAGGAATCTCATCTTTATGCAGACAACATCCAACTGTACATCTCCTTTAAGCCCCATGAGATGTCTAAGCTGCAGCTTTTACACACCTGCTTAGACTCCATTAAAACCTGGGGCTGGGAGCTTTCTTCAGCTGAATGAAGATAAGACTGAGATCCTCATCTGTGCCCCAGACAAGCTGGTTGCCAAAGTCAGAGACTCTCTTGGTCAGCTTGCTTCTCACACCAAACCTTCTGTCAGGATTTTTGGTGTGACCTTTGACCCAGCTCTTACCCTGGATTCTCATGTCAGTTCTCTAGTTCGCTCTTCCTTCTTCCATCTCAGGAACATTGCTAAGCTGAGTCCCATTCTGTCCCACGCTGGACTTGAGACGATTATCCACACCTTCATCTCCTCACGCTTAGACTACTGTAACTCTCTTTTCACGTGTCTGAGCAGAACCTCCCTGAAACGTCTACAGGTGGTTCAGAATGACTGTGCTCGGCAAACACACCCACATCACCCCACTTCTCCTCCAGCTTCACTGGCTGCCAGTCAACTTCAGGGTTCATTTCAAGATCCTCGTTCTGGTCTATGGGACCTTACATGGACAAGCACCATCTTACATGGGTGATTTTCTCAGTCCCTACACCCCCAGCAGGTCCCTGAGGTCCAGTGACCAAAGTCTACTGGTTGTGCAGCGCACCAGGCTAAAGACCAAAGGTGACAGATCATTTGCTGCTGTGGCCCCCAGACTCTGGAACTCTCTCCCCCTGAGCCTGAGATCAGTGGACTCAGTGGTCTCCTTTAAAAAGCAGCTGAAGACGCATAGACTTTCTGCCTTTTTCAGGATCCTGTATTATCTTTTTCTTATTCATTTTTTATCCTTCTCATTTTACAATTTAATTATTTTCTAATTTCTGGCTTTTTTATGATATTTTTAAAATTATTTTGTTTAATCTTTTTTGTCCTTGTAAAGAGCCTCGTGATTTTTACCTTGAGAGGTGCTATAAAAAATAGTTTTTTTCTCCTTCTGCTAATACAAACAGTTTGCGAGGTCACAGATCCAAGAGGAAACCTCAGCCATCCCTCTACCCAGAAACACTCTCCAACTCCTCCTGAAGTGTTCCCAAGTCAGAAACAATATCAAATCCGACCCAGCTTGTTATAAGGCTCCCTAAAATGACCAGGAGGTAATCCTAATCAGAAGCTTGAACCACCTCAGCAGATTATTTTTGATGTAATGGACCTAACTCCCTCAAGATGATGAAGCCCATCACCTTGGCCCTCCTACAGAAGAAGCTCATAACAGCTGCTTATATCCAGGGGAGTGTTCAGTCACAATGAGCAAAGCTCTTTTTTCAGACCCAACCAGATCCATCCCTTATGTCTTAAGTCTCGGCCCGGCCGCTCCGGTCATCACAGGATCATCGGCTAGCAGTGCCTACACCACGCTCAGGACAATCCAGACTCTTCTCATGCATCGTTCCACAAATGTGGAATGACCTACCAAGGACTACCAGAACAGCGGCTTCCTTTTCAATTTTCAAGAAACTCCTGAAGACCCTGCTCTTCAGAGAGCATCTTCTTAATTAGCACCTTGCCTGCACCTGTCCCCCCCTCTCTACCGTCCACTCCTTGTTCCCTACTCTCCATGACTGATGTCAATGTTGTTGTTGTTAGCCTCAAGGGCAATATGCCGATTATCACTTGTAAGTCGCTTTGGACAAAAGCGTCTGCTAAATACATAAACATAAACATACCTGTCTTTTGCTCCAAAACATGTGAACCCTCCATCCTCTCAACCCAGAGCGAGCCATACAACTTGTTCTGGCTGAGAATCCTGACCTCAGACTTGGAGGAGCTCATTGTCCTCCTGGCCTGGCTTCACCACCCCCCTGGGTTATTTTTTGCTTGAATGGAGCCATTTATGACTTTTGTGAACAAGGTAAGTTGTGTAATGAAATTTTATTTCTGCAGAACACACTCATGTGACATCCGGATCTATTTTAACCTCTTTGTGGATGGTTGTGCTCTTGAGGTGTCCGAGACCAATTTCAGATCATGTTGCTTTATCACACGTCATTATTTACCTGTAATAATAATATTTTTAAAACAACTGATTGCCGGTTTGTATTAAAAAAAAAAGAATCCCAATCTCAGATGAAACTGTGAGGTTAAATAACCAAGTTCCTGCAATAAAAAGTCAGATGATGAACAAATTCAGCCTGGAGAAAGCAGATGGAGATAAGAGCAGATAAAAGACATAAAAATAGAGTGCTAATCTAGTGCTGACCATCTTGGCCTCTGACTGGATGCTGTAGCCAGAGGGGGAGTTGGAGCCGCTGCTGCTGCCTCCCAAAGGGGGCCCGGGGATCCCAGGAATGTTGGGTACCATACACATGGGTCGCACCAGCTGAAGATCATACAGGATGCACAAACAATTATGCACTGAAACTTAAATGTTCTCACTTTAAAAGTAAAAATGCAGCTTTCTGCAGATCTTACATTAATGACAGACGGTATCTGTACAGGACCAGGAAGCACAGGCACTGGCTGACCAGAGGGAAGCATCATCATTGGGTAGTGGCTGGTCGGAGAGCTAAAGGAGTTTTTAACAAGCCGGAAATAAGTCATCTTTATATAAAACGATACACACGTACAGTAGAATCCTTGTTTCTTCTCAGCATGAAGTGTGTTTTTAACCTGTTTGCTGAGACGTGGAGGATAAAAGAGGAAGTAGTGGAAATAAAAACCCATCTACAGCAGAGGAATCGTAGCTTAAAGGGGAAAAAAACAGAAAGATGCTGGAGTTCTTGGTTATCTTTGGATTTTTATGGAAGAGTGATAACAAAAGTGTCTTTGTGTCCAAACAAAACCTGGTTCTCATTTAAGTGGTCTGCGATATTTAAATAGAACGCTAGTTTGGCTTTAGTTGGGTCGTTTTTATTCTTGAATGAGTCAGTGTCTGTTTCTTCAAACCAGGACTTAAGATCAGATTAACAGCAGCTGCCATCCAACTTTAACCTCTGAAAAACCTTCAAACATTCTAACTACTTTGTTAAAGTTTGGCCTCTTGGGAGCAGAAATTTAACAAATAAACGAATGAAGCAAAAAAACAACAACAACAAAAAAAGGTAAACAGCACAACAAAGGAGTGATGTAACTGTTTGTTTCTGTTGATTCATGTTTAATCTAGGGATGATCCGATCAGGTAGTCATCATCCTCCTAGTGGTGAGACAGTCCACCTCACTTCAACAATAAACGTGAATTATTGATGCAGATCTGTGCATCATACTGTAGATTTTCACAAATGACATGTATAATTATTTTACCTTAACAGAATGGACTCTTAGGGCGCATAAAGAGTATTATACACAATATTTAAATAGAAATAAAGAAATGTGTTTGTTTAATTTATTATTTGAGTTATCAGACCTCCATCTTAGTGTTTTTAAATGCATATTTAGGCAAAGTCCACCTACTTAAATGCAGTAATGTTTTTCCGCAGACTGTAGTGCTGTGAGTTTTCTCAAGCACATAGAATTAATATAAATTAGGGCTGCAACAAACGATTATTTGGATAATCGATGAATCGGATGGGGTCTCGACACGATTAATCGACTAATCGGATTACATGGGGAAATTTTTAAAAACTGCTAGGGAAACGTTATTTCTCTCCTTCCTTCACTTTATTAAACACAACATTATTAGAAAACAGTTCAATAGCAGAAAAACAACATGCCATCACCTAAATTGTCTTATAAGGTGTATAGACAGAGACCCTAAGCTACACCTATTTGTGACCTAAAATGCTTGGTCCAGGTTAAACAGCTTAAAGAGCAAGTCAACCCCTACCAGAGTCTAACTCCACTCCCACTTCATGTTTGAAAAATGGAACAAATGCTGTTGCCTGGCAGACCGAGAGGGCGGAGCCGCTAACAAATACACACACACTCAGGCTCACGACAGCATTGTGACATCATAATGTACCAGTTTATATCATAGCATACTTCTTAGCCAATAGCGGTGGCAGATTTAAATTAAAATACAGTGCAGAGTTTTTACCTGACAACGGCACAACACTGCCAGTTTTAGGCAGAATATTTAAATTTTAACTAAGATGCACTGAAGAGCCAAATTATTGACCACACGTGTCTGCAGCACGATTAGACACTCATTTATTTAGTTTATCAGCAAAAAAAAGTTTATTTGGGGGTGACTTGCTCTTTAAGGGCAATTCTCATCTGTTTTGTTTGATCTCATCTGTAGACATTTATTATAATTGGGGATGTCAAACAACTAATTTTTAAATGTAATTAAACATAGGCTGTGAATTAATCAAAATTAATCACTATTTCCAAAAATGACTGAAAAAATACCAAATAAAACAAAAGTAAATGAATGCCATCCTCCTTGTGATGATGCCCTGGGCAACTGCCATAAAGTCACATCAAGAGATGCTGATCATTCCAATGATACCAAATAGACTCACATTAGGCCACATGAAAGCAACTGAACCTAAAAATATATTAACCAGTATATAACTGCACTCTCTCACAACACGCCTGCAGCAACAGTTAGGACTCCTCCCTCCCTTTTAAAAGTGTTTTCGCTTCCGAGGACATTGTGGTTGTAAAACCACATGCTAGTGGTCTGGCCCCGGTGTGATCAACCAGTTTCTGCGGGAATGTGACGGCGGAACCGGTTCGCAGCAGCGCGAGTTGTGTCCCCCCCCCCCCCCCCCCCCCCCCCCCGGCTCATCTAATAGCGTCGCGCTTACGATTTTATAGACTTTTTTTTTTTTTACGAGCTTAGGGCATGTCTAGCCTGTGTAATAATCCGGGGCTTGGGTGAATCACTTTTGAAAAGTTTTTAACCTACCCGGACACCGAGCTCTCTCCTTCCTCACTGATGATTCTGACATGCTTGTGTTTAAGATGCTGCATCACCACTGTAGTACTCCCGTGCCATGCTAAGTCTGACCTACAAACGTTGCAGGTAACGAATGTCTTCGCCTGATTTAACTGAAAATGCTCCCAAACTTCAGGGACTATTTTCCTGTCCTGTCTGTCTCTCATCTTCCTGCATCTCCTCTTAATTCTCCAGAAAAACTGCTGCCTGGATTCTTACTTTTTCACCTCATCAGTTACTTCTGAGCAGATCAAAGGGATCTCCTGACCACAAAGCGCAGAGCGCGTTTTCGATGCTGCGTGATATGGCAAGCCAGAACCGTCACAATACGCCACTTTCCCAACCCGTCTAGTTAAGAAATGGCGAAAAAAACGCCGTTTGATGTGCCAAGACGTCGTAAAATACGGCGAAAACTCTGCCAGAACGCCGTAATTGACGCCGTTCTGAACGGTCCCGTAGAACGCCCGTAAAATACGACGTTTTTTCCGGATATTGAACGCCGTTTTTTACGTCACCCTAATCCCAGACGCGTTCTGTGTGGGTGGCGTAAAATACGGCGTTTGGTACGGACATTGAACGCCGCTTATTTCGCCGTTCTGTGACATAAAACGCCGCTTTTAACGCCACTTTGTGACAGTTTTAACGCGTTTAAAATTCAACTTTACTCTCATTTATGCAGAGCCCTCCCCATGTTCTCATCCACTTAATTTAAACTCCAGTGACCCAATGAAAGACGAGGAGGTTGAGGCAGCACTAATTCATCCCAGATTCGCCGGGCTGTGCGGACTGCTGTTTTCTAATACAACTCGGCTCTGTTTCAACTAATTTCACTGTATTGAAAAAGCCTTGAAATGTAGTAATATTATCAACAATGTGTCAACATTATTATTTTTTCTGTCTACCTGTAAAAGGCAGAAACGCTGTTTCAGTCAGACCTGATGATTACTTAGTGTGGCTGCCCCGTACCAGTCTGTCCTCGTGGCTCGTGAGTCCAGCTGGAACATCAGTGCTCTTTCTGTCCCAAACTCCCTTCTTCTTAAGTTCATCCACTTTCAGTCTTTACTGTTGTTTTTTTTTTTTAACTACTGTTATACTTGTCTTACAGGAGCTTCTGAGGATGTTCTGTCTTGCTTCTCCATCATCACTCTCCAGATCCTCAGACCAGCCACTCCAGAACCTTCCCAGACCCAGGATCAGAGCACTTTAATAAAAGTTTGAAACATGTCTGCTTGTTGTTCTCCTATAGAAGCCTTAAACTAGAATTTGCTAATGAGCTTTCTTGGCTAAAATATGCTCTTAAATGTTTTTATTTACATAATCAAGAAACACGTTTTTCATTGCTGCTTCACCAAGACATGACTCTGAAAATGTCCTCATGATCCTGAAACGCTGGTTAAAACAAAGTGATGCTTTTGGGCCTGGTCCCTGGTGGTTTCCAGACATGATTTAGTTTACAGATCTTTAGCTGCACATGGAATGTTCTCATACGGGTTCTTGCCTAGTAAGCAGGGGGTTGCCTCCTGTAAAAATGGGGATGATCAGCTTCATCGTTGTCTTTCAGCACACTCCGTAAAGTCCTAAATTTAAAAAATGTGGTTTGTGGGAGAGGCTCATCTACTTTCTAAGGCTAACACTTTTAAACTCCTCTTAAACACACACTCAACTTGTTAATAACTAAAAGGATTGTTCAATACCTGCTCAAATAAACAAGGCAATTCTACAGACTCATGGATTTGTAAGTAGCATTAATGAAGAATACAGGATCATATAGAACAGAAATATGAAGATTTACAAGCAAACTACCTGTACAGGCACTGACTCTGTATGCCTTAGTAAACAGCCATTTACAGTATCGATGCATAAAATGTAAATAGTAGGAACTTGAAGTAATCAATTGTAAATAACTTTTCACTTTATTTTATTATTATAGTTTGAAGAATGCCATAACTGTCAAAACCAGTGCAGATTATTATACATGTGCAACACTGTTAACCCATTTTTCAGTGAGATAATTGTAATTTTTCCATGTGTTTATTGAAAAGGAAAAAGCTGACTAATCACAGAAATAATGATTAGTTGATTAGAAACAAGTGCTCAACTAGAACATTTGAAATTTGTGTTACAGCATTTCATGTTTTCAACTTAAATATCAAAATATTACAGAAAGTTAGCAAATCGGTAGCAAGTATGCAGGTGCTTCAGTATTGTAGTGGGCATAATCATCAACAGACACGTTTGTTTTATAAGAGGTTAAAAGTAATTTGTTTTAACCAGCGTTTCAGGATCATGAGGACATTTTCAGTCATGTCTTGGTGAAGCAGCAATGAAAAACGTGTTTCTTGATTATGTAAATAAAAACATTTAAGAGCATATTTTAGCCAAGAAAGCTCATTAGCAAATTCTAGTTTAAGGCTTCTATAGGAGAACAACAAGCAGACATGTTTCAAACTTTTATTAAAGTGCTCTGATCCTGGGTCTGGGAAGGTTCTGGAGTGGCTGGTCTGAGGATCTGGAGAGTGATGATGGAGAAGCAAGACAGAACATCCTCAGAAGCTCCTGTAAGACAAGTATAACAGTAGTTAAAAAAAAAAAAAAAACAATAGTAAAGACTGAAAGTGGATGAACTTAAGAAGAAGGGAGTTTGGGACAGAAAGAGCACTGATGTTCCAGCTGGACTCACGAGCCACGAGGACAGACTGGTACGGGGCAGCCACACTAAGTAATCATCAGGTCTGACTGAAACAGCGTTTCTGCCTTTTACAGGTAGACAGAAAAAATAATAATGTTGACACATTGTTGATAATATTACTACATTTCAAGGCTTTTTCAATACAGTGAAATTAGTTGAAACAGAGCCGAGTTGTATTAGAAAACAGCAGTCCGCACAGCCCGGCGAATCTGGGATGAATTAGTGCTGCCTCAACCTCCTCGTCTTTCATTGGGTCACTGGAGTTTAAATTAAGTGGATGAGAACATGGGGAGGGCTCTGCATAAATGAGAGTAAAGTTGAATTTTAAACGCGTTAAAACTGTCACAAAGTGGCGTTAAAAGCGGCGTTTTATGTCACAGAACGGCGAAATAAGCGGCGTTCAATGTCCGTACCAAACGCCGTATTTTACGCCACCCACACAGAGAATGAGTCTGGGATTAGGGTGACGTAAAAAACGGCGTTCAATGTCCGGAAAAAACGTTGTATTTTACGGGCGTTCTACGGGACCGTTCAGAACTGCGTCAATTACGGCGTTCTGGCAGAGTTTTCGCCGTATTTTACGACGTCTTGGCACATCAAACGGCGTTTTTTTCGCCATTTCTTAACTAGACGGGTTGGGAAAGTGGCGTATTGTGACGGTTCTGGCTTGCCATAGCGTGAGGTGAAATCACCGCAGCACAGGTGATGAGCTCCGCAGTAGCGCGCTTCAGGCACAAATAAGACAGAAAATAGAGAACGTGCAGACATGAACGATCGTGTGCTAATTATAGTTTTTTGGTTGCGTCACTTTGAGAATGGACCGTGCGCTGGAAGCAGCTGCCTGGATCGCTCGCAACAATGCGCTGTGCCGCTCTCTGCTCAAAAGAGTCCAAAAATGATATAATATAGAAAACTTTTTTCCGTTTCCCCTGGATGTGTAGGATATACAGCTCCCCCATAATTCGATCCCTGCTCCTGGATGAAACGCCGGACATTTTCATCAATACAAGAACCTCCAGTCCGGACGCGCCGGACAGAGAGTGAAAAGTGGACACGTCCGGGGAAAACGGAACGTACGGTCACCATAGTCCTCCAATTAAAGCGGGAAATTATAGATACAGTATTTTGCTCGTGCCCTGGGCCCTTTAGAGCTCGTGGGCCCTGGGCGATTGCCCAGTTAATCCGGCCTTGGGCGGAACCGGTTCGCAGCAGCGCGAGTCCCCCCGCTCATCTAATAAGCGTCGCGCTCACGACTTTAGGCTCTTTTTTTACGAGCTTAGGGCATGTCTAGCCTGTGTAATAATCCGGGACTTGGATGAATCACTTTTGAAAAGTTTTTAATTTACCCGGACACAGAGTTCTCTCCTTCCTCGCTGATGATCCCGACATGCTTGCGTTTAAGACGCTGCATCATCCCGTGCCATGCTAAGTCTGACCTAAACGTTGCAGGTAACGAATGTCTTCGCCTGATTTAACTGAAAATGCTCCCAAACTTAAAAAGCTTTTACTTTTTTGACTCTCGCTGCTTCTGCCATGTTCCTCTTCCAAACAACTGCCGGCTCTCCCTCGCGCTGATCTGTCTGCGCGCAACGGCGGGCGGGAAGGGGGGGCGCTTTTGGAAGAGTTGTGCGACACAACGAATCGATGACGCAATTCGTTGCCAACGCTTTTAGTAATCGATTTTCATCGAATTTATCGATTCGTTGTTGCAGCCCTATTTCCAAGCCACATCAGAAATCCACGGAAATAGAGCGGTTAGTGCTACGTTAGTGCTGGATTTCTGATGTGAGTGGGAGGCTAACTTCACTTAGCTACTGAGGCTGCTCTGCTGAGCAGAATACGGCTGCAGCTGGGTCTGGGACACAGACAGAGCAGCAGCGCTGTTACTCTTGCGAGACAGGCAGAAATTTGCAATTTGAGAATAGTTTTCGTCTAGTCTTGGCTCATTAACAAAAACTCCTGCATGTCTCGTCATGTTTTAGTCACCAAAAAGCTATTTTTAGTTCATCAGCAACTCATTTTTGTTATGAAAAAGGGGAGTGGATTTAAATTTAAAAGTAGCAGAGTTGCTCATATGTCAAGTTGTTTACTACCTCAATACGCAGCTGTACTGAGCGATGCGGGTTAACATGACGGGGCAGGCACGCGGCACCTTGGCCAGCAGGATAACTTTTCCCTGCACACCACCTGCAGCTAACACGCAACTTTGGTGCTGCAGGAGACTTATAAACCCTGACGTTTTGCGGTCTATTGGCAATTTCTCTTTGTTTATTAGTGTACCTTCCTCTGTTGGCTGGTTCCACGTTTTTGTCTGTGAACTGGGATTTAATGGAAACAGTTGATTTGCTTCCATGCTTTCGTTCTTTTTTAAACACAGAAACAGTTTTGTTTACCTGTTTGTAGCTACGGTTTCGCCGACAGCTGCCGGCTTCTTCAGGCTGACGAAACCGTAGCTACAAACAGGTAAACAAAACTGTTTCTGTGTTTAAAAAAGAACGAAAGCATGGATTTACAAAGACACAGCAAGAACACACCTAAGTTGATTTGCTTTGTTGACTCCCAAAGGGAAAAGCCGAATCCTAAAGTAGTCTGTTTTGAAGGCTGCTTATCATGTAGCTCTGTCTTTTACAGCATGCTGAATAACCAGTATGCACACATTCCACATGGCTGTTGCTCTGCCTTTGCTGCTCGGTTTAAAATACCACCAAGCTGAAGACATTTTAGCTCTCCTGTGGAGAGACACGTTAGCTCTGCGTTAGCCTGCTTGCTAAAAGCTGCACCTTGGTGTCTGAATCTCTGCCTGCTGTAAATTGTGTCACGTTACCGTGTTGTTTTTGTACAAGAAACAAAGAATACTGATGTAGAGGAACTTGTTGAATTTAAAACTAAGTCACTGTTATTCCATTTGAAAATCTCTATCTCAGGATAGAGCGCATTGAGAGCATCCCTTGTTTAATCAACTCCAATCACCAACTTTTAACTCATAAATATGACGTGTTCTGCTCCACTCACCCCAAAGTGCGATTTGAAGGTGGTGCTTGCGTGATGACCGAAGTGGGTGATGGCATGGTGGGGTGAAGAGCATCAAAGCCCAAATGTAGTGGAAGGGATCCCGGACGCACAATAGTTGGAGTGGGGGCTGAATTCCTCTGAGGCGTGTTCTAGGAGATAAGCAGCACAGTTTGTGGGTGATATCAGCAAGATTTTTCACTTCAGATATTAAGAAAGCAAAAACCCAAATGACCCTTATCTACCTTTCCTTTAGTGATGGGCTCGCTGCTGCCTTCTGAATGTCCAGATATGGATTCAGGGCTGCCTGGTGGTGAGGAGTCCACCTCTACAGGTGCCTCTTTCTTTACCTTCACGTCTGATTGGGTCTGCAGGCTCATGTCCAATGCCACAGAGTTTGCTGCTGTAAGCTGAGAAGTGACAGAGAAGAAGAAGAAAAGAGTTTGCATGGTAAACAGGGTATGAAAAAAGGAAGTAATAATTATATAAGTCAGCCAACCAGTCACAGCTGGTGACACTAGAAACACAAATTTAGCACAATAAAAATGCAGAAGCTGCTGATTAAAATACGCCCAACAAACTGCTGCAACAACTGAAATTCTACTGATGCATAATAAGTGTGAAAGGCAGGAACTTCAAGATGCCGTTTTTAGCTAAATCGGCACTTGACATAAGAAAGAAGGAACTTTTTTTTATGCTAAACGGGTGTTTGCAGAAAACTTCCCTGGTTTCTGAACAAAGCGAAGCCTGCAGAGATGAGCGTGCACACATCATTTCCATGACTTACAGAATTCTTGGCTCGTTTTTCATCTTCATCTTGATCAAAGGAGCTGGCCAGCTCATTGAACAGACCGACTTCCTCACAGTTTTTAAGGAAGCGGGTAGGGGTGGGTGTTTGATCTGGGAAAAGGTCATTACAAACAAAGAGGTTACTACTGAAAACAGCACATCTCACTTAATTCACACTTAACACAAAGGCCCATCACACAAACAGCACTTAAACAAAGTGGCGTCAGGGTAAAGTGCAGCTTTCATTTCTCCATATTTACCTTCTATAGAAACATTTTTCTAGACCGGTTTTGGATCTGTATTTTGATTAATGGCAGCTTTCCCCCTCACATTTGAACCCCTGATCATTTATTTGGAAACATTTTGTTTTTACACTGATCCAATAACAGAAAGAGGAACATAATTAAAGGAATAAAGCAATATGGTAACACTTTACAATAAGGGTCCCTTTATTAACGTCACTTAGTGCATTATTAAGCATTAATAAATGGCCCCTTTGTCCTAACCTTAAGGACACTTAATAGTTAACAATAACAGTAATGTTAACAAAGTAACCCTTTATTTAATGCTTAATAATGCATTAAGTAACGTTAAAGGGACCTTTTGTTTATTAATGCTTAATAATGCACCAAGTAACTTTAATAAAGGGACCCTTATTGTAAAGTGTTACCAACAATATTGAGTTAACTCACAAAGGACAAATTAGCTTAATCAGTCAATTTGTTACCAGGAAACTGTTCTAAATGGCACACTTTATTAGGATTCCTTTAACTTTGTGTGCAAAAATATCGAAAATAAGTTTTCTGGTGATGAAAAGAAAATTGGTAACTACATAATAAATCCCAGAGTCATTCAGTAGTAATTTGATCAAACGAAAGATGATGCATTTGGACATTATCTGCTTTGTCTGTGTTGGATTTCCTCTAGTTTTAGGGGCACAATACAAACCATCCTGACAAGAGCCAAGCTTCTAGCCAACTGTTCTCTGAGGAATCAGTTTATTGATGCACTCAAAAAACAACTTTTCCTACTAGCTGCTAGTGTCCTTAAAATGGAAAACAAAAATATTGTATTTAAGTGAAACCACAAGTATCTAATGATTATTCGGTCAGTATTAAGTGGTTTAAAAAAATCTCTATTAAAAGGTCGAGTACATTGTCTGAAGGGAAAATGGTTGAAATACACTGCAGAAATTCAAAGGAATACTTCAACAATACTTCCAAGTTTCAGCGGCGTACAAAGTTTGAATCGTGAGAGAAGAAGCACAACAATACCTGCAATGATAACCGAGTCGGTCCTGGCTGGTCCGAATTTCAGCGTCATCTCATGTTTGTGTTTGTGTACCGCCAAGTGGTCCTCATTGGTAAACCTCTGGAGTAAAGGCACCAGAAGAAGGGAGACATGAATTAACCAGTGGAGACGTGTAACTGTGTCCGAGTGACACGGGCAGACAGCCTATACTACTGTAACTCTAATATCAGATTACGGTAATCACAGACAGATGTGGCACGCCACTTTACGACACATACAGTAAAAATGTTGTGACAACCCTGAAAGAAAACTGTGGTGTTTAGTTACTGCTTTGTGTGGGTCAATTATAGCCAAAGGATGTGAGCTCAAATAACCTTAAAACAACTAAAAACGTCCCGTAGACTAAATGATTTCCAAAGCATTGAAGAATGTGGAACAACTGATTCAAAGAGATGCTGTCAAAATAATTAAAGCTCCATTTTAGTCCAAATTCAAAGCTAAAAGAGAGCTGGCACCAGAACTAATCAGACAGATACAAAAGAAAAAAGAGCAGTCATCCTCTGAGAATGTCTTCTTTTAAGATGCAGCAATGTGATTCATTCAGAGACGTAGGAGGAATAATCTCGGTCATGGCAACAATTTATTCCCTATTCACTGCCGCTTATTTTAGGGTGCCGTGTTACGGTTGCGACTTCAATCAGGAGAGCGAAGTGGAAACACAGTCTAGAGACAGGAATCTTATTTTTAGCCCGACCAGAATGCATCATCAACACGACCCAACTGTCTCTTCCCTGTGAACAAGGCTGCTGGCTTTTTCTGGAGGAAACAATCTGTATTTAATCTCTGGGAGTTAGATAATCACAGCTAGGATTGCCTTCCCCAAGCAACAAACAAGGGGCTTCATCTTTAATGTTGTTGTTGTTGTTTATGTGCACCCTGAACGGAGCCAGAAGTCAATCATCCTGGTTCTATTATGGGGATGATTCAGATTTTCCTGGTAGACAACTGTCGCCCGTAAAGGCCAGCAGTAAAACAGCATTTGGACACTAAGACCTTGTAATGTAAAGGATGTTCTGTTTCTAACACAAATAAACAAATATCATTACAGTGATTTAACCCAACTGTTTACCAGCCAAAATCATCTCCACATAACAGACTGGAAGCAGCCGGCCGAATTTCAAGTCTTATTTCCTGATATTTGGACATATCACCTCAGATTGGCTAACAGCGACGCAACTCTACCACTGACTCCCTTTACTCTGCGATATTGATGTTTTTTCTTCATAAATAACACAAGCATAGATGAATTCTGTCTTGTGGTTAAGTCGCTAATGCTAACGGTTAGCTTCTGGTATAAGACATTGTCTGCTGTTTCCTGAATGCTAAACCAACAGCCTTCCCCGTCATGAGTCAAAATGGGTGAGTCCATGAATGTTAAGTGTCAGTGTGACGTAGATCTGTCAGGCTTTTCAAATCCTACAGCTTCACCGTCTATTTTCTATCAGAAGCTAATGCAGGAGACAGGTGTAGGAGACTATTTTCATGTTCAGCCAGCATGAAAAAAGAGTGACTAATTATAAATGTTGTTTCAGTGTGCTACACCTTTAACCCTTTGATGCATAATGGTCACTACAGTGGACAGGTACGCAAAATTGTTATTTATTTATTTTTGCTATTAAGCACAGCTGTTGAAGACTTTATTGCATGTGAGCCCCTCCATTTGGACTTCAGTAAGTCAAGCCAACATATTTCATGTTCAGAATGCATGCTGTCCACCGAGGTGGGCATGTAATAAATTATTTGTAAATTATTGTATGTTATAAAAAATATTTGTTGAAATTCGTTTCATTCACACCTAAAGATGAATGAAAAAAATTGTTTAAAAAATCATGGTTGAAGATTTCATAATTCATGCATCAAAGGGTTAAATACCCACAATTCATTTAGAAACAAGCCAGTTTTCTTTGTACATTTACAAAAAAAAATGTCAGCTGGAATCATCTGACATGTTTCTAAAACACTGGAAATATTTAAATGATAGATGACCCACACTTGTGTAGCGCCTCTCAGAGTAAGGACTCCAAAGCGCTTTACACTACAGTGTGTCATTCATTCATTCACACACACACTCACACACTGATGGTGATGAGCTACGATGTAGCCACAGTTGCCCTGGGGCGCACTGACAGAGGCGAGGCTGCCGAGCACAGGTGCCACCGGTCCCTCCGACCACCACCAGCAGGCAAGGTGGGTTAAGTGTCTTGCCCAAGGACACAACAGCAGAATTCTCTGTCCGGAGCCGTTATGTAGCATTATGTGGAAATACCGGTAAAGTAAAAATGACATCCTGCGATAAAATTCTAACTTTAAACAACTCTGGAGCTTTCTGTCGGCCGTTGTCAAATTACAGTTGTCGGTGCTGCAGTTAGCTCACAGGAGACACGGAAACCCCACACTCACTAATGGTAAACAGTAGCTACGTCCCTCCTTCCTTTGTTTTGAAAGAACAACTGACAAACCAGCAGCCAGCTGGATATGAAATATGTTCCAGTATAACCTTCCTTCCAAAATGACTGCAACATTAGACTCTTTTGGGATTTTCTCACTGTAAGATTATCACTATATTCTTACATACGGTACCTTTAAACATCATAATACAATATTACATAAAAAGTACACGCACAATTCAACAGGTGTCAAATATATATATGAACGAGTGTGGTATAATGACATTTAAAAAGAGCTAATAAAAATAAATGTTAAATTCTAGCCTTTAGAGCTAAAGTGCATGTATCTGAAATGGATAGCCTTTCAGAAGTCACATCCTTAACAAGGGTGTCCAAAGTGTGGCCTGTGGGCCATTTGCAGCCCTTAGTGAGATTTTTTTTAACCCAATGAGTGAAGTTTGAGAGCGCTAGATGATTGGCTAAAGGTAGAAGCAGATAAAACATTGTTAGGATGAAATTGTTATTAATGCTTAATAATAATAATGTCAATCTTAACTAAAATGATAAATGACCCACACTTGTATAGTGCCTCTCAAAGAACTCCAAAACGCTTTACACTACAGTGTATCATTCATCAATTCACACACACACTCACACACTGATGTTGATGAGTTACGATGTAGCCACAGCTGCCCTGGGGTGAACTGACAGAGGCGAGGCTGCCGAGCACTGGTGCCACCGGTCCCTCCGACCATCACCAGCAGGCAAGGTGGGTTAAGTGTCTTGCCCAAGGACACAACAGCAGAATTCTCTGTCTGGAGCCATAGTCTGCTTAGTGTCTGCTTAGTAATGCAATTAATGCATTACTAAGCAGACACCCCCCAGCCCTTTGCCCTAACCTTAAGGACACTTAATGGTTAACAATATCAGAAACGTTAATAAAGGCACCATTTGTTTATTAATGCTTAATAATGCACTAATGAACGTTTAAAAAGGACCCTTATTGTACAGCATAACCAAAACACTTTTGTGCATTTATTTTGTCAAATTTTACCAAAATGTGTTATCTTCAAATATGCTCAAAATAGGAATGAACTTTTTAAGTTTTAAAACGATCTAAACTTACCCCCCCAAAAAAAGTGTTTCACACCATAATCCAACTTCACACGTGTTTAGTTTGACACTCAAACAAAACTAGTGGCAGCAGCACAGCTGTGGTTGGGGTCAGGGTTAAAAACGCCTCCAAGCTGCTATTTACTGACTTCATAAAGTCGGTGAATTTACATAAAAAAATAAACATGTCCAACAAAAGAAAGGGCTCTTTTGTGTCCATGATGTCAGACAAAGAAAAGCATGTTCGATTGCTTTCCATGACTCCTCAGATGTTTTATAACCACACGAACATTCTGTTCTGCTTCCACAAGAGCGAGGCCGTTACATCCCACAAGAACATCAGACAGCTAAATAAAATCAGACGACATTTCCTGTGTTGAATCATTCTGAGCCCTGGAAACATATGTTGTATCATTTCTTCTTCCTCTATTCTACAATATCAAGCCAAGCCCCTGTAATACAGCACGTAAGAGGCATGTGAGTGTACTAGCGGCGCTCAGCCGAGTCACCGCCGTGGCTCAAACCTGTGTCTGCAGGCGCTCGGCAGTGACAGGTTGAAACAATAACTGTGCTCTGATTACTCACTGGAGCTTTCAGTGAGTCACTCCAGAAAGAGACGATGTTGTCTCACCGGAGCATGTAAGGTAGAGTGTGACTGGTGTGATGTTCGTTAGAAGTTGTGTAACCGACAGCTGGTTTGCTTACGTTGGCCATGAGAAGGTGTTTTTGAATGAGAAGGAATGGAACAAATGTGCCGTTTTGACAATATCCGTTAACTTTTGTTGTCGACTACTTTCAGCCACACGCTCGCACAAAACTAAAGAGACAAAGTCTTACCTGTTCACAGCCTGGAGCGCTGCACACAAAAGGTTTGTCGTCCCCCATTTTTGCAAAGAGCTTGCAGTGTAACTGTGGGAGAGGAGAAGAAGAGAACATCTCTGAACAGGCAAATCCTGACAAAAAAACAAAAAACAAAAACAAAACAAAACAGGGATGCTGCGGCTTGTAGTCTGAGCAGGAAGCCGAATGTGGTTTAAAAATAACCCTGGCACGGAGGAAAACATGCACAGAGGCAGTGAGGGGAAGTTTCCCTGGTGATCCTTCCTTCACGCAGAGGGGCTTCTGGTTGGCCAATGAGGAGCTGCTCACAGTGAAGAAGAACGTCGGCTAACGTTCACAAAAATACGTCTCCCTCTCCTGCCACCTTCAGCTCACTCACAGCCACTTGTTCTCTTATTACCCCTCCCTCTCGCTATCTCTCCAACACCTTCCCTTTCTTCTTATGCTCAGTGTCTCCCGCTGATGTGGCAGGTTCTCTCTGATCGGCTTTCAGTTTGAGCATCACAACGACTTCAGAAAACAGTGACGGAACATGGTCAAGGTGTTAAACGATCACTTGGCAAAAGTATGACCGTCAGCTAAGAAGACAAACAGTATTATTTAGTATTTCTGAGCATTTTGTGCTTTGCCAATTGAAGAAGTGATGTAAAAGTAAACAAAAATGACTAAAATGCCTTAAAATGTTTTATTTTGTATTTATGTTGAGATGTGTGTAGACAGCTTTTTTCCTAACCAACGTTTAAGTCATTTTATAGATTTGTACCATTTTTAAGAGCTTATAGAACAAGAGCCAACTCTAAATATCGCTCCTATCAGCAATTCAACCCCAACTCCACCAAACCGCCCCACCCTGGCTTTCACCACTCTGCTGGACTAAACGTCCTGGAAAGTTAAGAAAAATAACTCATTAAAACAAAATTAGGAGCACCAACAGGGAGGGGGTGTGGGGTGGCGACAGACATGAATGTTTCAGCATTGTCAGCTGGCTCAAAGTGACGTCTGGTAGCGATTACACAACGCCGTCCCACTGACGGTGCAGAGGCCACCAACATTCAGATGCACGTTGTTACATATCAAAGAACAGCTACAGACTACAATGCCATTCATGTATCATCGTATACCATTGTTTACGCACTATATGGGTTGAACATGTGGCCTAACATTATTGAGTGGGACAGATTATTCATTACTTTGGCGAGGCATAAATGTCTGAAAGTGTTCCCAGTGTTGAAGTCAGTGTATTTTCCTCCCTTCATCTCTCCCTCAGCTGCCCCAGAGCCAACACATGATTACCGAAGCTCTGAGCTGGAATACGACGCTCCCATGATGCCGAGCTAGTAATGGACCTCACCATTGTTTCATTCTTTCAGCTCTGTGTTTTAAGAAGCAAAAGCAGTCTGTGCAGGCAAAAGTCGCTCCTCTCTGCAAAAAGCCTATGAAGTGCAGACGTTTGGCTTCTTGCAGACTTCCCATTTGATGGACAAAGAAAACGGGTCGGTGCCATGGCCTTCACAAAGTGCTTCCAACTCGCTGAGTCTATGTGTAGAGATGCATCTACAAACAAGCCTCTGCATCAAACTCGTTATACCGAGGGTGTGAACTGAGTGGGGAAACAGACACATCTGGCATCAGGAGTGGGAACAGATTTTAAGAATTTGCATATTACTAAAGACATGGTAGATGTCCACTTGGCTGGCTGGCAGTAACGTAAAATGTGGGATTTGATTTCATGGAAAGTTAATAAATTGCTGGTGACATGGGAGAAAAACACCATCTGTTGTCAAGGAAACCTCCAATCAAAATTCTGTTTATTATTCCTCCTCCACATAAATCCCTTGGTTTTTGATAAAACAACAAATCAGGAGTTAGATCATCAGACTGCACCACTATCTTTGCTAAATTCCACACAGCACACATCGAAAGAACCACTGTTGTAGATTTGTGTCCCTGCCAGATGGGCTGACAGAAAACTCTGGGAGTAATCTAGGAACTGAAAAAACAACATTTTAATGCTCTGTTATAAATGTCAGTTTTATTCAGACCTCCGACCAGTGGGAGACAATAAATCAGTCAGCTAGTTACAGCACTCTCAACACGCATCGCCGATATTCAGCGCAAGCACTGACATCAAATCCACCTGTTTTCACCTCCTTTTTATCCACAGGGACATGGAAGCAGTCAAAGCACCCTAATTCCTCCTCCTCTCATTGAGCGACTGCCAAAGTGGCTCCGTTAACTTGGATTTCTCCGGCTCAGCAGGTGTGGGGGAACAAGTCCCAGCTATAATCAGCGACAGCCATCCAGTGTTTGATGCAGCCTGCTAGGAAACTGACTAAACAAACCGTATTAATAGCTCGAGCTGCAGCAGTGACACTGGAATCTGAGCCTTAAGTTGCTAGAGGACAGGGGAGACCCCACACAACAAAAAGGGACAGAAGGAGGTGCAATTTAACTCTCTGGAGGCAGGCGTTGCAGATTTGCAACAGTTAAATCCTACCTACCTGGTTATTCCACATACGTATTTCATGAGCATTATTAAGGACTTAGTTGTTCGTCCTTTTATCAAAACTTATTTTGAGCCTGAGAGTTAAAAAGAAAGATCTGTGCAGGATCACAGGTGACATCTGTGAGCTTTCTGATCAAGCATGTACATGGGAGTGTGCTGCAGCAAATATGTGTTTATGTAAGTGGAGTGAAGGCAAGGCTGAGTATGGAACAAATGAAATCAAATACCCACATCTGCATACCTGACAAATATATAATCTAAACCCATGCAGAGCATGCAGCACAAGGACTTACTGCAGTGTTGTAAATTGAAATCCACAACATTGTGCTAAATTTATTTTAATGTGAGATTTCAACAAAAATAAATGTATAATTTTTGGAACTTTATTTTGCAAGTTAACACAACCGTTGTAATTGCAATGCTACACGACACACACACACACACACACACACAAGTAAATCCCTAAAAGTCCCTGTAGAATTTAACGTTTTACCAAGTGTTTTAATTAATCTATAAGTACACAGGTTGCAGGTTTTTCCTCTGGTGCAACACTTGTTGCAAGTGATGGAATGAGGTACAACTGTGCCAAAAACATGACCTACATTCCTTACCAAGGTGTTGACATGCATGGGGACACGGAACGTCGGTCGTTCAACAGTTCAAATTGCAATCCTTTGGACATCCCTGAGTTTAGGATCTTCTTGCTAAACCAAACGTGTCATTTGATTATGTCGAGCTTTGTACAGACAATGTCCCATTTTCCTGCCCAAACCCAGACTTGCAAACCGATACGGTATGAAACGGAACCCTCAAAGTCCGTCAAACTTCTGTTACTTCTTCCAGACAGCGCTTGGCTAGCTTAAAAAAGTTGGTCTGTTTTAGCCTCCATTACCTCCTAAATGTTAGCCCTGCCTTTTCCCGTAACAAGACCGCCTATTCTTTGTAGCCATTGGCTTGAAGCACATCAATCACCAGCGTAACACGCACACACATAGCTTTGGACGCTGTCAATAACAGGAGCTAGCTAAACCTTATTGGCTAACACGACGAGAAATCAACTTTTTGTATCCTTGCAAAAACTACTAGCTTAGCTGCTGTGGCTAACGTAAAAACAGGCCGAGCGCACAATGAAAGTGAGTAATAACAACGTTACTAACAACTTCTGTGCTGTCAACAAATACCTTAAAGCGTTTAGCAGGATCACAAGTTGACTCCAGTATTTTGAGGGCATAATTTTAGCGAAACCCACAATAGCAGAAAAAGTAGATGTTGGTTAGCGGAATGACACTTGAGAGTGCAAAGCGAAGAGGCAAACTGGTTCCAACTTTTATGACATTCTCGCAAACTTAATAGTAGCAAACACTGAAAAGTGCCGCATCAAGCGGTTTATAAAAAGAGTTAAAAGAAGTCGACATGTGTTTGGAAAATTTAAAAGTTGGTAAAATGTTTACAAACTCACCCTTGTACCCCTCTTTCTGACTCCCCTCTCCTCTCTCTTGGAATTTGACACTCCCCTCCCCTTGACGGAAACTTATCGCGAGAATTCACGAAACTTGCGTTGAATTTAGAACAGTTTACAGGTTTTTGTTTTTTCACTGTTAAATGTCCTTTGTTTAATGAAGTTAAATCAAGTGTACACTGCAAAATTCCTAATTTACAACGTCTTAAACATGTCTTCAGTGTAAAACATGGCATTTTATTTACCAACACCTTCATTTGGCACTTATTATATTATAATATATGTAACTACAGTTGTAGGTTATCATTACTGCTAATAATACTTATAGGTGCTTACGAATCACATGTTTCATTAGAAATAGTATCATCTAATCAGTTAATGAATGTAGCTAATGAGGAAATAAGTGTGGAAATAAATTATTACAACATATATTTATTTCCAAATACATTTTTATCCCCCCCCCCCCCCCCCCCCCCCTTATTTACTATCCATTTTGGCAGGATCAGTCCTCCCGTTATTATGCAGATAGTAAAATGCAAACTTCTGAGCGCAAATTAAATTAGAGACACCTAGTTTTTGTGATGAACTTTTTATCGTTTTTAGAATTTTTAGGGAACTTCTGTTCTTTTTGGCTTGTTAAGCACTTTGGTCAGCTTTTATGCTGTTGTAAAGTGCTACATAAATAAAGTTGACTTGACTTGACTAATAGATCATATTAGATTTGAACACGCTGCATTATCTTCACACACATTTGCGGTTTTCTAAAGTCAAAATAAACATCTAAAACTGATTTCATAGACTGAATAAATGACATAAGCAACTGATTTTAGCCTTTTTTTCATGAGAGGATATTAAGCAAGATGACATTTGTAGAACATTATTGTGTTTAATGGTTAAAAGAAAAAAAATGGACTAGAATATAAAGACATTTACTTGCAATACATACATAAACAAAGCACCTTTGTGGGCATATGCAAGACATATTAGGTTTTGCTTTTATAAATCAGCAAAGCAGGCAAAAAACAATCAAGCACAAAAATGATCAGATATGAGACCTAACTCTGTTTTGTAAACTCGTGAACTTAGACACAACACAGTTATCATGCATATTTACGTGTTAGAACATTTAGATGTTTTATTTTTTTAAAGTGGCTTTCTTTTTGAACAAGTGAGCACCCTTGAAAGCCAAAAATAGACACATTTATCATTAAAAATACCAAAAACCAAACATTTGTGGCAGGTGGATCTGCTTTCTCCAAACAGATATAGCACAAATAAATAGTGAATCATAAATGGCCTCAAATATGTTTTTATCTCTTTTGCTAGAGTCCAAATAAAATCCTTCCTGGCACATTATGTGAGATGTTGCACAACATATGTCCTCAAAAATGTTTTATTAGGTCTTATTTTCACATGTTTGAGCCTCGCTGACAGAAAACATGCTCAGTTTGCATCCTCACACATCATTAGCCCTCACTGATTATTTTATATTAAAACACGACTCCTCATTCAAAACTCTATTCAGCCTTATTTAACCCTCCGACCTTTCAAAACACATTTTTATAATTTTAAATAAATCATACCAACTTACTGACCTAACTCCACAAAACAAAACAGCATTATAAACAGATTAAAATCATTCTAAATTAGTGGTAGCAATCAGAGAAAAGGACTTATTTGACACAACTTCCTTCATTTCCATTTACTCCCAATATGATGCTGCACAGATCTGATGTTAAACCCTCTTTCTGCCACCACATCTCATTCAAAGAGCCCAAAAAGGGTATAGTAAAGCAGGCTGGGTGGATCTGCTCATAAATTGCTACTCATCCAAGTGCTGTGCATCTACAACATAATAGTCTTATTACTCATCTCTCTTTTTACATCCACCTGTATACACTTAAATGCGGTGCAGTGAGCTGTCTGAGCATCAGCCAGTAAAAGGTACGAGGACTTGGATTGCTGTCAGCATCAGTCTCTCAACAGGAGATAGTCTTTGATGGTTTCTGGTAGAGGGAGCTCACTCACAGCAGTGGGGAGGAACTGCACGCCGAGGCTCTGCCGTATGGCACAGCGCGCCAGAGAGCGTAGCGTTGGAGCCTGAGTCACTATGTTTGTCAGCCTCGCTAGAAGCTGGGGATCTTTACTTAGCTCTTTTGGGAGGGTGCCATCAGCTCGTCGGATCTCAAATCTCCCGGCGGCCCGGCACAGCAGATCCAAGCACTCCTCCTCCTGTTCAGTCCCCAGACCCCGGGCCAGCAGGGCCACCAGTCGGGATATAGGGGTCTGACCCTTTAGGTTGGTCACATGGACCTGCGCGCCATATTCTAACAGGACTTTGACACTCTCCAGGTTGCCCTTCATGGCTGCCCAGCTCAGAGGCGTGTCACTGTTGTAGTCCCGTGCATTGGGACAGGCGCCGCTCTCCAGCAGGGCCCTCACACACTCTGGGTTGTCTTTGAAGGCAGCCCAGTGAAGTGGAGTGTCCTTGTTTCCATCCAGGGCATTCGGCTGGGCCCCATACTCCAACAGCAGCTCCACGCAGCTCTCATCCTTTTCTGCAGCATAGTGCAGAGCCGTGCGGTTATAACCATCCAAAGCATTCACCTGATGAAGAAGTAAAATATACTGAGTGCTCCTGTTTCCATGGGGTTTTGCAATAAGAATTACTGTTCAGTTTGTCATCATAAAACCTATTAAATAAAAATATCAAAACCATCTAGAGAATTTTAAAATTGAGCAAAAACTTTGTGACACAATGAAGAACTACAAACAGCTTACTTCTGCGCCCTTCTCCAGCAGCAGCTCCACACAGTCAGCATCAGCAACCATACAGGCACAGTGCAGCGGTTTGAGTGTGCCGTGCATCCGGTTCACGTCTGCCCCCTTAGGAACAACAAAGAAAAGCATGAGTCCTGCAGATCAGATCAGCTCTAATCCCTTCAAGTGTGATGAAGTAACGCACCTTGCGAATAAGATCCTCCACGTTGTCATGTGGAAATGAGCGGATGGCAGCGATGGTGCGGATGAGTCGCTCAGACAAAGAGTATTTACTTTGAATGCTCTGCATGATGTACCACATAGTAGAGCTCATGTGTAACAGAGGACCATGGCACCCAGGCTGGGGTGACACTGCAGCACGCTGAGGCGACGTGTTCAAAAGGACAGAGTTAGACACGGGATCAGAGAACATGATGAGAAAAACATAATGGAAATTTCAATAATAACAAATGAACAACGATCCTCGAAGGAGCAAAACAAATCTATATGACATGATGAAAGCCAAGTTTGAACAATATTTCAGAAAACGTTTGCAAAATTGCAAGAAGAGAAAAGCAAGCATATTTTGTGAAATGTAGATTATTTTTTTAATCTGTAAAGGATTTTTTCTGTCCAATGCTGCTGCTGCTTTGCAGGTGAGCCCACTAATGATACATAATGTGTTTATGCATAGCAACTTTGAATTTGATTTAAGTTTATAAAGTTGGCCATTTAATGGAAAAATGTGCAAAAAAACATCCAGTCATTGAATATTATAGCTAGGTTTTGATTTAAATCGTTTTTCGAGAACACCATGTTCCCCAAGTATCACATACTGTATTAGCTGATGTTGCTATCACTGGAGTCAAGTAGCAGACTGAAAAGAAATAACCTTACAAGCCGACTCATTACACGACTAAGTGAATGCTTAAATGTTGACACACAAATATTAGGAATCGCATAATCCAAAAAATAAGTATCAAACTCAAATTTTGGAGAAAAAAATGCTAAATCAAACTAGATCTTTGTAGCATTCGGCTAGCTAGCCGCTAGCTAACGTGGATTCAAAACAAGACGATCGGCATCTGCAAGCGTCAAAATCAAATGACACTCCTTTCAAACAGCCATGAGCAACATTTTAAATGTTCCTTGCGTGAGAAATCACTGAAATATTAATGCTTGTAGAGGAAACGTACCGTTTAATGTCCACGGTTTGAAGAGCTAGCAGGTTGAACAGCTCGATTTGACATAAACACGAAACGTAAGCGCAGCCACGCCTTCATGTCAAAAGTGTCACCAAAGCGACTGAGCTGGTGTTTTCTGGCCCCACCGACAACAGTATGGTACATTTATAATCACACGGTGTTTAACCTGCTAAAATAACACAAAATAATAAATCCTCAGTACTTCTGAGTGGTACCGTGCATTTACATCTGGAAAGTGTTTCTCATGTTCTGCCTCTTTATTCTGCAGTATATTTTTCCAAAAATAGGTGATTAATTTCCCGTTCTCTCTCACTCTATAAAGTCAAAATGCAAACTTATTAAAATAATAGACTTACTTTTACAGAAGTATTTAAACCACAGAACAAATTTATTGACATACAAAATAAATAAAAATGAAATGAAAACAAACCCCCTCTGCTGCGTTAATCACCCTAACATGATGGACCCCATTATTGTCTTATGGCAAACTGGTTTCAGACTAGTGGTCAGACTAGTTCAAAGACCCAGATCAGGGGTCTTCAACCTTTTTTATCCAAGGCTGCTGATTTATGATCTGGAATGAGGACTATAACCAGAATACCTCTCCTGGGAAACAAGTCTGCCCTTGTTGAACCAGCACCTAGAGCTGCTTCCTGGGGCTGGTGGTCCCGACAGAAAAAGCTACCTCCACACAGGCCACTCACCTGTAGGGTAAAGGGTCAAGGCCGGTGCGGGGATGCATGGACATAATTTGCAAGTGTTGGAGCAAATGCAGTTATTGTAACAAAAATAATAAAAATTCTTACTTAAACATCAGGCGTTAACATCTAAAAAGTCCTAAATTCTGGAAGAATTATATTGGACTAACATGTTGCTGCTTTAATGTACTGAGTTTGGATGTCGTGTTGGAACGAGGAGGAACCCTGGGTCCTTTGAGTCAGATGGATCCTCACAGACCAAATTCTGATCGTGTGAAAACGGAGTTTTAGAAATTTCCCACACTGGATTCTAAAAATTAAAATCTCGCCAGCATCCAGTCTCTGTAACTACAACCTCTGCTCTTTAGCGCCATCTGGTAGTGAGACAAACTGGACAAACTATTACAGCCTGTGTTTTAAACTAACTTACATCAAGAAAATGCAGCCTGCAAGTAGACCATGTTCAAAATATTATTTATTCAGATTTGTGTGTCATGTTTGAAGAGGGCCTCTGTCACAAACAGTTTGAGAAATCAGCAAATAATCAAACAGTAAAGACACTGTATATGTATAATGTAAATAAAACTGAGCACATGCTTAAGAAATGTGACGCCGGAAAGCCAAATCAAAATAATTTATTTTTGGTGACATGTCATACAGTTCTAAGATTGTGTCTTGAACACTTTTGTTGATCCATTACTACATTTCCTGTTGCCACCCCGGCCCAAATGAACAGAAAATAACCCAAAACAAAAATGCAGAAGGGGGAGGGGCTATTTTTGTATACATTTGCAAGCTGATCAGCATCAACCATACGCTTCTAAAATTATTTCAGATTACTCAGGAATACGATTCTTTTTGTAATTAAAAAAAGTTAGTGCATTTATTTAATGATACTAAATCACTAGCTGCTCATACACAACGTAGAAATAAAATAGCCCCAGTGATTGGATCCTCGTTTACTGCATTATCAAACCCAAAGTAAATGCATCAAGTGTTTTTCTCTCAGCCAACATTCTCAATCAGTGCATACATGTCATATGCGTGATTTTATTTTGCCAATGCCATTTCACACAACTTTGGGGAAACCAGCCTACCAAGATTGGGAGGAAAGCGTTGCGCATTAGAATTAAAATAAATAGGCTTTAAAAAGCAATACATACAGTGAGTCAAACTTTAAATTCTAAGTCAACCAGTTTTTTTCTTTGAAAATTAAAAAAAAAAAAAAACATCAAAGTCACCCTACATCACAAAAACAATCTGATGGATATCTGCAGTCTCGTCATTTTAGAACTAAACAATCACATCCTCCCATTTCTAGTGAAGGGTTATTACGATATAGCATAGGCAACTAAACCTCTACAGTTTCTCAAAAATCCAGTTTCACTGAGTCAAAACGTTCCCCAAACACTAAATTATTTAGCATCAATAAAAATTAAAACCTTATCCTAGAACTATGATCGCAGGCAGCTGGCACATAGGAGAAATCCACTTGGCTGCCAGATATCATGAAGCTAGCCTCCTTACCTAACAGCACACCTCAAGTCTATTTTTTTCTCTCTGAAATGACGTCTCCGTTATTCAGATACAAGCGTAACCTGGATATCCTGTGAAGATGTAGAAAAGCCAAACCTCACCCAGAACCCCGAACAGTCGAACCTCAGCATCCACGTATGACTCCACCTCTGGAGGAAGCGTTCCCAGACTAGCCAAACATGTAAACAGAGAACCTGACTGATTATCAACAAAGTTCTGAATCTATTCAGTGGGTCGACCCCTCCTCCCTTAAACGAAAACACAAATAAAACATGAAAAACTTTGGACCAGGCTATAGCAGGTTTGCCGGTTTCGGCTTCAAAACAAAACCACACAGATGAGCGCGGCGTGCGTCGGCAGCTTCTGATGTCCAATCGCAAATCAGAATCAAAAACACTTTCATTAATGTACATTAGAAGACCACACTGCCCGTTTCCCAGGACAATGATTCAGAATCTCTGCTGTAAAAATCAAAACGATCCGTTCCATTAGAACCGCTGCAACGGCACATCGGAGCACTTCAATCATTTTGCTCAACAATCGACACAAACACGGATCAGTCAAGCCTCCACTCGCAAACCTAAGCACACAAGAACGGAACAAAACTCATGTCTCTCTGGTGTTAGTGATATCTTTGTATATGTACATGACATATATGCATTTTCTTCTTGTCTTAGTGCATATTGTTCTTGCAGACCAACAACTAGTTTTTTTTTTTATTTAAATAAAAAAAAAAATAAGGTAGAGGGCCATTTATGTGGCCCAGCATCCCACCTTCCCTAGCAGAGCAGAAATGAACGACCTCCAGGAAAATCACTTTTTTTTTCTTTTCAGATTGCTCATCAAGTCCTCCTGACGTCGCTTTGCCCTTTAGGTCCTGGATGTCTCGGTCCTTTTAAGAGCTTTTCTTTGGACAAGTCCCAGGAGGGAAGGTGGCTACCATAATGTTGTTGCTTTTATCTTATTCATTTTTATATAATTATATATATATCCACGTATATATATTCATACATCTTTCTCTATTCAGATTCAGTTTTTACTTTGGCGATGCGGGGGGGATGTTCTGCTCTTTGCCGGTGTGCCTGTAGCCTCCCTGAGGGGAGCTGCGTCTGTTTGGGGGCGGGCGCCGCTGCTCCCGAAACTTGAGCCCCCCCGTGCCTCTGGGGCCTTTGCTGCGGTGGTAACATTGAGAGTCACGTTCACGTGGCGGCCGGCTTTCCTTGCATTCCCACCCCCCCTCCCTGTCGTGACCTCGCTCTTGCTTGTCTCCGGGGCTGCTGCTGCTGGAGCCCGGATCATCGGCCTTGTTCACTCCCAGCTCGCGGAGCGGCTGGCCCGACGCCGTGCTAGTGGAGGCAGGGGTGGGGGCCACGGGTGGAGGGTCCTTGGGTGGCCGTTGGCACACTTCAGCGTAGCTGAGTTTACGGGGCTCCTGAAACAAGATGGAAGTGGGGGGAAAATGAATTATTAGATTAATTTTGTTGTTTAGCCTTTGATCAACCTCAGTCTAGATGCTCATTGGAGCATCGTCAGGAGGACTGTGTTCACCTGTGCGGGAGAGTTGCTAGTGACTGTAGCGGGGGCAGGTGTACTAGAAGTCCCCGGTGTGGAGACAGTGGAGGACTGAGGCCTGGAGCCAACAGGCTGGGTGGTGGAGGGAGCGACAGTGGTTTGAACTGGAGTTGGAGCCGAGCGTGGAGGTGCTTTAGAGGCCGGGGGTTCGGCCCGCTCAGTCCTCTTCTCCTGATGAGCGATGCTGTCGGAAGAAAATATTTTAGATTTAAAACGAGAATTTCAGTCATAGAAAAATACTTCATGATGTGACTAATGGGTGTGTCGTACCGGGAGGGCAGATGTCCGAGTGGTTGAGTAACAGGTTTCACGGCAGTCAAGACAGGACTCGGGACAGCCGTGGTCTCCCCTGTGACTGGACCTGAACTCACAATGGCGTCTTTATTGGTGTGTTCAGTCTAGAAAACAAATCGAACCCGCACGGGTTACGCCTCTGAACATCAGCAATCAGGTCAAGTCGTTTTAACAATACTAAGAATTTGCACCTTGTACAAACCGCGTACAACATCTGACATTCGGTTTTCAAGCACTGGCTCGCCTTGCGTGCTGACCACGCAACCAGGAAGTGGAGGAAAATTGGTGGCAGCCAGGTCAAACTTGGGGGGAGAAACCTTCACCTCGGCTAACGGAGCAGGCCTCTGCAGGAGAAAACGCAAATGAGGCCAACATGGAAGCACGAGCTCCTGCAAAGCTTTATTTTGTGTTGGGAAACTTCACATACTGTGATCCTCTCGTCCTCTCGCCTCCTCCGTGTCCCTCTGTACGTCGTGCTCCGTCTGAAACGCACAAATATAACCACTTTACTACAAGCCTTCTGGAAGCTCGTCACAGAAGCTGAAACCAGGGGTACCTTCCACGTCCAGCCATGCCTCCATCGTCACTGGGATCCAAACACGAGGATGAGGAGGAGAGCTGTGAGAAAGCTGAAGCCAGGTCATTGGCAGTCTGGTTGGTGGGGGTGACGGTGGCCACGACAACAGGAGGCTGTGGGCTGCGAAGTCCAGTCAGACTCTCCAATGGGACTGGGGTTAAAGGCGCTGGACAAACCTCGCTTGTCCTCACCTGGGGCTTCACGTGGTTTCTAAAGCAGGAGGAGCAAAAACCAAAATAATTCAGGTAAAAGGCTCAGGACTGGAAACCAGTGCTTCAAAAAAATAAATAAACAGAAGCAACAACAGGAGCCACACAGCGATTTAATCATGATGGTAAAACGCCAAATAATTAATGAATGCCTTAGCTCGACACCTTTTACTAGAAAACAGAAATGTTTTAAGAATTTATTTAAACAAAGAGTAATACTCTTAAAATTTCCCACTGTTATTTATAGATTAGATCTTTATTATAAAATTGTAACAGAACAGTTTTAATCATCTTACAACAGCGCTCATATATTATATATATATATATATATATATATATATATATACATACATACAAATAAACATGCAATAGACTGGGGAAGAATCAAGCCAAACTTTATTTTGGGATGAACCACTTGCTGCAGCATGCTGCCGGGCCTTACAGCTGCATGCTGCACCCAATCATAAACCGACTAAACCAGAGGCGATGACACCAAGGTAAGAACTGACGAGATGTTGCAAGCTGATATTTTGCCGAAACATCTGTCAGAAAATTTTCTAAATACTGATTTCGACCCTCAGATCTCATAATCTTAACGCTCATCAGGATGGGAGTGCAGAACCGGACTTTGGAAAGAAAGAAGAGACAGAAAAGACTGAAGAAAGAGAGAGAGAGAACCAAAGCCGGTCCTTTCCTCCCGTTTTCCCTCTATGCGCATCATGATCTCATCATCGGGTCCCACTTGTTTCTTTTTCAACTTCTTTTTCTTAAAATAACTAAATCCAATCAGCTGTGAACCACCAGCTCCCCCATTGTTGCACACACCATCACATGGATTAAGCTGTAGCGATGAGAGCAGCAACAAAAGCACAACAGAACAAAAATGGTGGTTAGGCGAGATGGAGGATAACAGTTAATGTGAAGAATGCGAAGATGATGTGTTTGGAGCACCAAATCCAAATAAAACTGATGAATTAATCTAGAATGCTCGTTAAAAACATCCTCAGAGACTCTGACAGGAAGAGGGCGTGGCCTCTGATACGGTGCATGGTGAGCGATGAAGCTGGTTACAGTAGAACAATGGTACCTGAAGGCATTTATTACATTCTTTCTTGAATAGAGAGGGACACTGTGGGGACAATAAGAAGAGCAGGTCCCGGGTGAGGTTACATTATCTTTACACGACACAGATGGTCAGACTTTACATGCAAACAGTGGCACCAGTGGTGAACAATACATCCCATCGTGTTTATGAAGACAGCAGGCTCAGATTCCAGTTACAGCTTCAATAATAAAAAGGCGGCAGGAATCAGATGTGCTTACCGGCTCCTGTTGAACGAGCGAGTTAGATTCAGAGTGGCGGAGTTGGTTTTGTAGTGTCCAGCAGAGCCAAATCCATTCACAAAGCTGCTGTTGGGAAACGGCGCCTGCTCGGACACAAACAGCCAGCTTTTATAAACCCCGAATCAGTAATCATGTCCTCACGGAGACTCTTTAACTGCTGCAAGTTCTTCTTACACAATCCTAACCCAAATCACTAAGATCCCATAAATGCACGATGATTTCACAAAAAAGGTAAATGCTACAAGGTTTATTACTTATTTTACAGTTTATAAAACCTGACTGCAGATCAAAACAAATCCCCCAGCTGGGATGTCAAATGAAACAGCAGCAGCTGTTGCTTAAAGGAGGCAGAGTATCAGATTTGCTACAAAAAGTTGGTGAAAGTATTAAACAGGATTGTGTTAAAATGATTTCTTACCAGAGGAGTTTCAAAGTAGGGCGTAGGCGATGGCGTCCAGGTGGGAGGGATGAGGCCATAGACTGGGTACTGCTGCTGGGGGTAGACGTGCTGCATGTAGACTGGGGAGCTGTACTGGGACTGGTTCTGGGACTGCTGAGCATACAGGCTGCTGTCCATGCTACGGTAACCATTCTTTGCAAAAAATGTGTTGATGGCCTTTATCCTGGCCTGTTAGCAAAAAAATAAAAAAATTAAAAAAGTAGATGATTACTGACCAAAAAACATCACAAAGGATATTTATATAAAAGGTTTTAATTTTAACTCACCATGATGGGTTTTCCCTGAAATGTTTTTACTTCCTCTCTCAAGTACTTGTAGGCCTGGAGAAGCAACAGGACTGAGTTATGTCACCCCTCATGCTCAAACCAACATAGAAGACCAGTGACCTTTGACCCGCCATACCTGTTGGGCATCAGTGTCCGACTGGAATGTGATGTACCAGTTGTTGTTGTGGGCAAACTCCACGCTGATCACCTTTGGACAGTTGTCATTTTTGAACAGTGACTCGACTTCCTGTGAACCAAAGACAGCGAACCATCAGGTGAAGAGCGGCGCTGATGCGTCATTCTATAAGTGTGTGAAGATGATGGGCTTACCTCCACTGGTGTGGTTTCAGGGACTTCTCTCAAGATGATGATGCATCGCTTGTGATTGGGTCGCACCTTTTCCCCTTTCTCATCCACCTGTACCATAGGAGATGCTGGGGGGGGGGATTTATGCCTTTAATCACAATACGTATGTATAAATAAGTACCACACATTTTCCTTAACCTTTGACTTACATCTCAACACGTCCAGGATGAGGTCTATGTCCGTGGTGAGGACCTTAATGCCCTCCATGCTGGCTATAGTCCAAATAGGGACAAACTGATCGCTGTCCATCTGGGACATGAGGTACAAATCCTTGGAGAGGTTTTCTCTGAACCACATCACAACAAATCCACACTAGTTAGCCATGCTTTCATTCGTCAAACAGGTTGAAATCATCCAAACACTCAGAGTGTGCTTAACGCTCACCTGGAGAAATAAAACTCCAGCTCCTTCTTCAGAGACTCTCGTAGATTCTCAGAGGAGATTTGCTGTTCTTCAGTTTTGGAATCTACCGAGCAAAAAAATGAAAACGGCATCAGTAAAGAAACACGGTCAATGATAATATTGATACACTGAAATGTTGTGATATTTTGTGTTATGATACTGAATCGATATTTAAAAGCAGCAAATAGACGTTTTGAGAATTTACATGGTAACGTTTACCATATGTTTTGTGTGTGGTGCAATTCAAACTTCGATGGCTAGGTGGCAGCAGTTTTTACAGACGTCATTCTGACTAAACAATTAAACCTCGCAACAACACTGGACGTGACATGGAAGTGTCTGACCTGAGTTTTCTAATTAAACTCAGTCTTAAAATATCATCTGGCTTTCCGTATCGAATGATATCGCATCGTCTCCCTGTACTGTAAAACACACCCGCTAGTCAACGATATCTTTCAGGTTTTAAAATACTTTAATTGTCTAAGTAAAATTACCTGGTGATTTTAATTGACCAATGGCAAGATGAAGCGTTTGTAAACTAGAAAAAAAATCTAAAACTACAATCAGTTCACATCTAGTTTAGATAATTGCCAAAAGTTACGTTTTGTGATGAAGCTGCGATCTGAATTAGGGTTAGACCGATACATCAAGCTGATATTTACAGTTTTAGACTGATATTTGTTCTTAGTAAAGCTGATTTAAGGTCAGGCACATCTTTGGGACACCCCGAGCTGTTACAGAATTTTATTTAAAATGTATTTTTACTTTAACATCATCTGCATAATAAATACTCCAACTTTATTTAGTTGCCCGACTTGAACGCTGAGCAAAGTTAAGATTCAACAGTTAATTAAATTCATAGTTCAAACACTAATCCAGCTGCAAGAAATTTGGTGCATGATGTCATTAGTGACGTTTAGCATGAAAATAAAGTGGAAAATGCCTAGATATTGGCCATGGAAACTGGCAGTACATATCAGCCATCGGCCAATCATGTCTCCTGCATATCTGCATCTGCAAAAGAAAAACTAATATTGGTCAAACTCTAATCCGAATCACTAAATTACTGTAAGTCTATGAGACAAAGCAGTTTGAAAGTTAGCTGTTCAGGTGGTTGTTTAGATACAATATATATACATATTTATCACAGGTTTAAGATTAAATATCAGGTCTTGGTTTTTACAGATTTGCAGATTTCTACTCAAAAGCAGCACATGAACTAAACTCTGGTTTGGGCAGATCTGACTGATGCTGGCAAAGGATTTTCAGATCATGTTATGTTACTCTCCCAGAATCCAGAGCTTTGCAGGAGTGGGCTGAAGCAGTTGTAAAGTTTGGATTATTCAAGCATCATTAATTAGGACACATGATTCTTTGTTGGTACTTTATGATGAATCATAAAAACAAGTACTGCCATCTCCTTCCCTCCTCGGTGAATGTACTCATATTGGTCTACCTAAGTGAAACATAGCTAGATAACTAGTAGGTAGAAATAACGGAAGCACATTTCTTACAGGACAGAGCTTCTGGTTTGTGTGCTTTTTTGTTTTTTTACATTCAGTGAAGATATTCTTCTGTTACATCTTGCTTTCACAGAAGAGTAACGCATCGGATTCCAACTAGAGAGCAAACCTTTAAAGCAAACGCAGAGAAGTCAGTATTTTATCTCTCACGACTGTCTCAAGGGCTCATTTGTACTAGGAAAGTGGGGATTTGTCACATCATGTCATGGTCAAAGTTCCCCTCAGCTGAACTTTGACTTCTGCTTAAGAGCCAGCTTACACTTTGGGGAACAGCCCAGTAAAAATGAGTTATGAAGCAGCAGAGCCATCGTCTAATGACAACTGTCCAACGCCCTTTAATCACTCCTCGTGTGTAAATAGGAAGGTAAACACACTCAAGGTTCAACAAACAAAGGTGTAGGAGTCTAACATGGGTGTGTGTAGGTTCCTGGGGGCACATTAATAGAATAAGGTGAATTTGGCTCATCTATGAGTGACTCTTGTTTTATTATGATGGTCCCAAGCAGCAGCCAGTCTGGAGATGACGGCATGTGAGGTGACACGACTGACCTGAGCTCCCCGTCGTGGACTCAGCGGGAGAAAAGCCCGACTCTTGAGGATCCATTCCATTTACTGCTATCTCAGCTGTTGCTGTGGAGCTGCTGTCACCCAGGGCGCAGTATCCCACCGTGTACTGCTTGCACCCAGCTGACGAAGGCTCAGAGTAACCTGTCCAAAAAGGTTTAAAAGAAAAAAGTTTGATCAGAAAAAAGCAGCGAACAGAGGTGTATGTGTTTGAATTGAGCACTAAAGTTCCCTAAGATTTTTTCTAAAAAGGAGGAACTTTGATTAAACTAGTTTGGAGTAAGGTTGGGCGATGGGATGAATGAATCGACCATCGGCAATGGGCTGAGCCGTTACGTTTTTTTTTTACAGGAGGCGATTTGTTTATGTATTTGTTTGTTATTGACAAATATTTTACACGTTACGCACAGAGAACATCGCGGAGGTAACAATCAAGAAAAGATCTCCATCAGCGCATCAGAGCCTTTTCTCACCTCCTCCACCTCTGGCTGCTGACAGTGCATGCGCAAGCAGCACGCTGAGGAGGGGTTTGGAGAGCGTCTGTGACGCACTCGACATCGTGCACTACAGCGCGGTGTCGAGTGGAAATCCTATTTTTCAGAGTCTGAAAGACTTCTGGTCATTTCATTTGGAGAAATGTTTCCCGATTTAAAACTTTGGCTGAAGTAGTGCACGTCATTATTCAACACCTGCTTCAAGTGTGTCAGCAGAGCACGGATCCATCCAGAACATTATTTAAACAGCCATGAGTCTGAGGCAAAAGTCTAGAAGCTCATAACCTCTTCAGCAAGCTCTCTAGAGACATTTGATTACACACAAACTGCAGGTGACCAGTTCAGGTTTAAGCGGCGCAGCAGGTGAAATGTTCCTAATTTAAGTGAAATTGTTTAATTGCATTGTTCGTGTTACTGGGGCATTCTGATCAGCTTGGTTGGACTAAATATTAATTAAAATTAATGGAAATTTAACAAATTATTATTCATAATTTAAAAAATAAAAGTGATGGGGATAAAAGGATCATGTGACTTCTGGCAGTGAGCTGCCTCCTCAGAGTACGTCCAAACGTAGCAGCGATTCATTCCATCCCCTACTTATAAAAGAAAGAACCCCAGAAGTTTTTGTTCAGAAAGAAACATTTTGCTTAAATAAAGTACCAAAACAGTGGACACCACAGGGAAACAAAGGCGAGGCTTCTTTTTAACATTTTAACCGTGTTTAACACGGGCCGTTTGTAAGTCCCTCTACCAAACTACAAATACAAAATTAAACAAAACTAAATATATAAATTTCTCTTCCAGCAAACATATGTGCTGCACTTGTCTTGCACTTGGCTTCTTCTGTGTTAAATCAGTCCATGCGTCATGCACGAATAAATCATCCATCGTCTTTTTTTGGACTGAAGATTGGCGGTGGGAAAAATTATACAAATCGCCCAACCCTAGTTTGGAGCATCATAAAGTGTTTTAAAATCAGTCGAGTGTTGAATTCAGGGACACGTTAGTCACTCACCGTCCGAGGGAGGCCAATGTGGACTGCTGGGAACGGACTCGCTGGGGGCCACGGGGATCTCCTGCCACACCTTGGCATTTGGGTTCAAACCAGCACCCTTAGATGTGACCTTCAAAGGAAACCGTACACAATCTAGTGAGATCCTGCTTTAATATAGAGCAATGTTTTAAATTCAAGTTGTATAAAAAAGTGTGAGTAAAGTTGTCAAAGTCAGACACCATGAGGGCATCATTCTTTTGTTGGGTGTGACATGTCATGTGTTGTCCTAAGAGATGTTACCAGAGCACTGACCAAAATTATTTAGCAAAATTCATGGTTATTTTTGTGTCACCAGTGTGGCACAGAAGATTTTTTTCTTTTATTTATTTACTTCTAAACATCTGTGGTTCCGCATAAAAATAGATGCATGCTGTAGTTTTGTGTTAAAAAAAACTTTAGGAAAACATAAAGCTTTTGAACATAAAATGTAAAAAAAAAAAATGAATTGTGGATGTTGCTGCTATTAAGTGAAATACAGGCAGTAAAAAACGCACGTGTGTTATCACACAAGTGATTATTACATACAGGAAGCTCTAACTCTGACACAGCTGTGGGCAAACTGGTGTTTCACTCAGTGGGGAAAATTTACTTCTAAACATCTGTGGTTCAGCACAAAAATAGATGCATGTTGTAATTTTGTGTTAAAAAAACTTTAGGAAAACGTAAAGCTTTTGAACATAAAATGTAAAAGAAAATATCATGAATCGTGGATGTTGCTGCTATTAAGTGAAATAAGGCAGTAAAAAACGCACGTGTGTTATCACACAAGTGATTATTACATACAGGAAGCTCTAACTGACAGCTGTGGGCAAACTGGTGTTTCACTCAGTGGGGAGAGTTTTCCCATTAATCTGACATTATCTGTCACTATTATGACATGTTCACATCACTTTCCACTTGCTAACAAATTCCGCAGCATATCTAGAAACATTCAGTCTGACAGACTTCTTGCAGTCAAAATGAGTGTAGCCAGCAGACCGGCCTCGGTGTAATTCAGAAATGCAAGGACGTTCAAGAGCTGTGCAACTTGACACATGATTTTTTTTCTTTGACAAAGCATGCTAGTGTGTCACAGGCCGAGGAGAACGGAGTGTCAGCTGACTGCGCTGCGCAGCACAGGCCAGGTACTAACGCATGTCACTGCGTCAAGCTAGGTTAGCTACCATCGCGATTAGCTCACACATAACATTACAGTGATTGAACATGTACCATTCAGCCCAGAATATTAACATGGCTTATAAATATGAGACAATAACCGAATAAGTGGGTTTCTCCTCTGAAGAGCGCTTACCGTCGGTCTACGGCTGCGTCGAAACTTAACTTAGAAGCTAATGATTACTCAGCAAACTACTTAGTAAGCGTGCTTGAGGTGAAGGCTAAGCTAGCAGTGAAGCGTCGGCTAATGATCAGTCACTGCTTACATTTAGGTGCATGAACTGGCTAAAAATTAGGTGTGTAGTCGCTACACTGTCTTGTGCTAATTACGAAACTACTCGAAGAGTCCAAACCCAGCCGAATATTAGCAGTGTAACATTAGCTTACTTCTGGTTAATTTTAGCAGCTGTCTGATAAATATTACTCATCCAGCAGAAAGGGGGGTGTGCTGAGCGAATAGGTCTCTGGTGAGCATTAGTCGCTTAGCCAGCTAGCTACGTTGCTAATGGAGGCCTCACTCACCATGCCGCCTGAGCCTCCCTCGCTCCCCAGCGGAGCTTCGTCCTTCCCACCGCTCTTCGGTCCGGGATCAGCCTCCTCCTGCAGCAGCGGCGGCACTCCGCTCTGGTCTGAACTCATCAGCCGCTCCTGACTTCACCCCGTCGCGTTCTCCCGGACCCCACCTGCCACCACCTCCTCCTTTGACCCAAACACCGGCTGTGTTCAGCAGTCGGTCGGCTTGTCTCCTAGTAGCAGCACACCTTCAGGTAGCACACTCACTTGTTAGCCAGCTAGCGACCTAGCGTGCTATGAATCAACGGAGCGCGCTAACGACAGCTAGCTCAATGAATGAAGCTCTCGCGCTAAGATACTAAAAATATAAGTGTCGCATATCAATCCCCGTTGGCGTATAATCAAATGTTACACCACACACCAGCTTCGCGAGACGCATTCCTAACCGGGCGACCGGAGCGGACATTGGGGACATGCACCTTATCCTCCGAGTAGGCACACAGTCCGCCGCCTGCCACCGCGCGTTCTCAGTGACCTTTGTAGCAACCATTTCCTCTTCCCTTTCCTGTAGTTTTCTATGTGTGACGTAAAGCGTTTTTGGAATGTCAAAAACGCCGCCATATTGGGGAGGAAAACTTGTCAAACTGATGCAAGACCTTAAGCGGATCTTTTGGGTTGACCTCGTTCATATATATATATATATATATATATATATATATATATATATATATATATATATATATATATATATATATATATATACACACAATCCACCACATACCTGCAGGGTGCAAGATGCTGACAGGGAAAGCATATGCAACGCCACAACCAAGTGGCTGTCATAGTGTACAGAAACGTCTGAGCAGGGTATTGACTGGAAGCCCCAAGGTCAAAGTGGGAAACATCCCCTGAGGTGGTAAAGAACAAGGGAGCCAATATCCTGTGGGAGGGTGAGAAGGGAATTTATATACAGGTCCTTCTCAAAAAATTAGCATATTGTGATAAAGTTAATTATTTTCTTTAATGTACTGATAAGCATTAGACTTTCATATATATTAGATTCATTACACACAACTGAAGTAGTTCAAGCCTTTTATTGTTTCTAATATTGATGATTTTGGCATACAGATCATGAAAACCCAAAATTCCTATCTCAAAAAATTAGGATATTTCATCCAACCAATAAAAGAAATTTGTTTTTAATACAAAAAAGTCAACCTTCAAATAATTATGTTCAGTTATGCACTCAATACTTGGTCGGGAACCCTTTTGCAGAAATGACTGCTTCAATGCGGTGTGGCATGGAGGCTATCAGCCTGTGGCACTGCTGAGGTATTATGGAGGTCCAGGATGCTTCGATAGTGGCCTTAAGCTCATCCAGAGTGTTGGGTCTTGCATCTCTCAACTTTCTCTTCACAATATCCCACAGATTCTCTACGGGGTTCAGGTCAGGAGAGTTGGCAGACCAATTGAGCACAGTAATACCATGGTCAGTAAACCCTTTACAAGTGGTTTTGGTGCTGTGAGCAGGTGCCAGGTCGTGTTGAAAAATGAAATCTTCATCTCCATAAAGCTTTTCAGCAGATAGAAGCATGAAGTGCTCCAAAATCTCCTGATAGCTAGCTGCATTGACCCTGCCCTTGATAAAACACAATGGACCAACACCAGCAGCTGACATGGCACCCCAGACCATCACTGACTGTGGGTGTTTGACACTGGACTTCAGGCATTTTGGCATTTCCCTCTGCCCAGTCTTCCTCCAGACTCTGGCACCTTGATTTCCGAATGACATGAAAAATTTGCTTTCATCCGAAAAAAGTACTTAGGACCACTGAGCAACAGTCCAGTGCTGCTTCTCTGTAGCCCAGGTCAGGTGCTTCTGCCGCTGTTTCTGGTTCAAAAGTGGCTTGGCCTGGGGAATGCGGAACCTATAGCCCATTTCCTGCACATGCCTGTACACGGTGGCTCTGGATGTTTCTACTCCAGACTCAGTCCACTACTTCCGCAGGTCTTCCAAGATCTGGAATCTGTCCTTCTCCACAATCTTCCTCGGGGTCCAGTCACCTCTTCTCATTGTGCAGCATTTTCTGCCACACTTTTTCCTTCCCACAGACTTCCCACTGAGGTTCCTTGATACAGCACTATGGGAACAGCCTATTCATTCAGAAATTTTTTTCTGTGTCTTACCCTCTTGCTTGAGGGTGTCAATGATGGCCTTCTGGACAGCAGTCAGGTCGGCAGTCTTACCCATGATTGCGGTTTTGAGTAGTGAACCAGGCTGGGAGTTTTTAAAAGCCTCAGGAATCTTTTGCAGGTGTTTAGAGTTAATTAGTTGATTCAGATGATTAGGTTAATAGCTCGTTTAGAGAACCTTTTCATGATATGCTAATTTTTTGAGATAGGAAATATGGGTTTTCATGATCTGTATGCCAAAATCATCAATGTTAGAAACAACAAAAGGCTTGAACTACTTCAGTTGTGTGTAATGAATCTAATATATATTTAAGTCTAATGTTTATCAGTACATTACAGACAATAATGAACTTTATCACAATATGCTAATTTTTTGAGAAGGACCTGTATACACACACACACACAATCCACCACATAACTGCAGGGTGCAAGATGCTGACAGGGAAAGCAAATGCAACGCCACAACCAAGTGGAGTGTGTACAGAAACATCTGAGCAGGGTATTGACTGGAAACCCCAAGGTCAAAGTGGGAAACACCCCCTGAGGTGTTAGAGAACAAAGCAGCCAATATCCTGTGGGAGGGTGAGAAGGGAATTTATATATGTCATATATATAAATGGATGTGTGTGTGTGTGTTGTCTTTTTCTCAGGTTAATTAGTATTTTAAACAAAAGTTAATAAAGAGGCGCTGAACACTGATACTACCTTTTCCACACTGAACATCATTGAATGAAGGAGAATCAGACATTTGACTGACAAACTTTACAGGCTACTGAATAGAGCTTAAATGAAAATAAAAGCTCAAGGGTGTGGTTCTCAGAACTCTGACCAGCTACAATACTTTCCATTCCTTTTCAATAAGTTTTTTTAAGGGGAACAAGATAGATAACTTTAAAGGTGTCACATACTCAAAAACAATATATTTTTATTTACTAAATTTGTCTGACAGTTGTTTTAATGTTGGGATTTTTAAATTAATTTATTCTTACCATCTAACCAACGTGAAGGAGTAATTTTACACGAAAAATTTCAGCCCGCATGAAGTAGACAGCAGCTCTTTTATTAAGGCACGAGAAAAGGTGGTTGGACATTTAAAACATGTAACAGAACAGAGAGAACACCTCTTTTAAACCATAGAAACTGGTTCTACTTCCTGAGAGGTATCCTCTTGCTGATCACATGCTCCATGTCGGCGTGTTCGGATGTGTCCAGTTTGATGTCATACTTGGCCAGGATCTTCATGATGGGTCTGATTTTCAGCCACCACTGAGTCTTTGGGATGCGGTGCCTGCAGCAGGAGAATCGGTCAGAATGACACTTTCTGATCAGTGTAGCGCATTGAGGATGTGCAGCTTACTCAAAATCTGTGTCCTCCTTCAGGTCGGCAAGAGGCTGGAAGGTGAGCGACCTCTTCCTCATGCCCAGCACACAGGCAGAATCCGGAGTGTTGGCAAAGATGCGACCTGAGTGAAAAGCAAATCGTTAATCTGCTTTTCAGATGTTTCTCTTGTTGTAACATTTGAGCCAACAACGAAAGCGGAAGCTGAGAGACTTCATGGTAGGAAAATAATTCCAATAATTCAGGTCACAGAAAGTTGGACTTTATGTGACTAATTTTGTTTTTTGATGGCATTAAAGTTTTTTCCCACAATTTCAAAAATGAGATGATTTTCTAAATATATTCATGATGAAGCGCCTCATGAATGGCGCTATATAAACGATCGTCTTCTTACTCCTCTAAGATCTAAAATCCAAAAGACGTCTGAAAGCAACTGCTTTATCCCGACCCCAAGATGGCAGCAAATCCTTTCAGCCCTGTACGTCGTGAGCCAAAACATCCAGATCATGTTAGAAATCTAAACCAATACCCGTTTAAGTTTTGCAAAACGTTTCAGTATTGTTGCAAGTCTACACACAAGTCTCTTAAATCCTTACATTTGGTCTTTTCCCCCCATTTTCAGCTCACAAAGTTTGTTAATGTGCATCTTTGATATGAGAAAAACCGTTGACAGTTTTTAGTTCTGTGGCTCATAAGGGTGTCGAGTTTGGTTTTTGGAAAACATACCATGTCTGTAACAGTCTTTGAGCTTCTCAGTCAGCCACAGAATAGACTTGGCTCCCATCTTTGTGCCAAAGTTCCTGTCGAAAGGTGTTGGGGTTCCACCCTAAAACCAGAGGACAGGATGTCAAAAAAGAAGAAGTCCAGTCACCTGTGATCTGAACTTACTCTCACCTGTTGCATGTGTCCGAGGACGTTCTTACGGCAGTCGAAGACGCCTTTACCTTCCTCGGAGTACAGGTTGAAGATGAAGTCAGTGGTGTAGTTAGAGCTGCAGTTTTCATTCCTTTTAGAGAAGTGACAGGTGGACCATTTTAACGATGCATTCATCAAAAGTGTGTGATAGAAGCAGGCAGACATTTGTTAAAAATAGTATTTATTAACATATTATTCAGCTATTGGCTCCTAATTTTACAGGTAATGTACTGATATGATTTAAATTAGGGATGCAACGATACCACTTTTTTCTAAACCGATATCAATTCAATTCAAGTTTAATTACATAGCGCCGAATCACAACAAGAGTCGTCTCAAGGCACTTCACACAGTAAACATTACAATTCAGGTCAGTTCATTAAGCCAATCAGAAAAAAGTTTCCTATATAAGGAACCCAGCAAATTGCATCAAGTCACTGACTAGTGTCAGTGACTTTACAGCAATCCTCATACTAAGCAAGCATGCAGCGACAGTGGAGAGGAAAACTCCCTTTTAACAGGAAGAAACCTCCAGAGCAGGGGTCCCCAATCCTGGTCCTGGAGGGCCGGTATCCTGCATGTTTTAGTTTGAACTCTGTTTCAACACACCTGATTTCAATCAGCAGCTAATTAACAGGCTTCTGCAGAGCCTGATGAACTGCTGCACAGGTGTTTCAAAACCTGCTGGATACCGGCCCTCCAGGACCAGGATTGGGGACCCCTGCTCCAGAGGATCCTGGCTCAGTATAAGCAGCACTCCACCATGACTCACTGAGGATCGAGAAGGCAGAGCAGACACACACACACACACCAGCATCCCTAATATAAATGATGTAAAAACTTCCAGATGGCTGATCTCAATGATGTAAGAATAATGCTGGTGTAAAAATGGTCAAACTGCATAATGTGGAGAAGTGTTTGTCCATTAATTTAACTTTCATCCGAGCAAAACCCACCTGAGAATCAAACCTCTTTTTACCGTCGTCTTCATCTTCTCCACAAGATGTCTCACGTTCACCTGCAGACCAATTTCACACACCAAACAAAACACACGATCGGTTTACTACTAAAAAATAATCAGAATGCAGAAAATTCAACTTTCTTTTGCATAAAATTCATTATTTCTACAAATCTTTCCTGATGAATTTGGAGAATGAAGGAAAACTGTTAAACTGAAAACCTCCCCCACCACATCCACGATCTCACCTCTAGATCTCTGATTGTGATTTTTTCCTCAAAGATGTAGGCAGCATCAGCTCCAGCAGCCAGACCCGCCATGGTGGCCAGGTAGCCGCAGTACCCTCCCATCGTCTCCACGATGAAGACACGGCGCTTCGTCCCGGCTGCAGACTGCTTGATTCTGTCGCAGGTCTGCAGAAAAACAAAAATACTCACCTTTTCTTTGTGTGCGTGTGTGTGTGTGTGCGTGTGTGTGTGTGTGTGTGTGTGTGTGTGTGCGTGTGTGTCCTTCAACCACTGACAGAGGTGATGGTGTTGAGAGCAGTGTCAGTTCCGATGCTGAACTCGGAGCCAGGAACGTTGTTGGAGACCGTAGCAGGGATGATCACCATGGGAATGCACATCTCCTCGTATTTCTCTCTAGCCTGGACCAGCTCCAGACCTCCAACGTAGGCCTGCAGCAGGACAGGAGGCTGGGTCTTTCACGGAAGAACCAACGTGTACATCCAGAGGAACATTTATTTTATTTTTTTATTTTTTTTACCTCAAATCCACCAATGATCACCAAAGCGTGGATGTTGAACCTGGCCAAGTTCTGACTGATTTCATCCAACAGTTTACCTGGAAGAGTTCTTTAGGAAACACAAATGCACATTAAACTATTCAAACAAAAAGCCAAATACAGTCTCATCTAAAAGAAAACTCATTTTCACCTCTTGGTGCCCAACATTGAGCCTCCTTTTCCAATCCAGCCGCTCACAGAGTTCCAGGTGATGGGTTCAATCTGCAGGAAGTAATAAAAACAGTAAATAAACAAATCTAGAACCGTATGAAAAATTTATATGAGAAACATTTATTTTTGCAAACATTCACTCCAAAAAAATTACAAAAAGCAGAAAAAAGTGCTGGGAAATTAGATGAATTTGCTTTAGTATACTCTAAAAGTTATAGTTGAAGACTAAATGATCAGCTGTGTGTCCTTAAAACTAATTCATCATGTTCCATAATGGTGTTTACTTAATTTTCTGTTTTACTTTTCACTCACTGTTATAGTGTTAACGGCTTGGCTTGCTTTTAGCACCCGCCAGTGTCCACTCAGTAAAATAGAAAGTGAAACCTACCTGCTTCCTCTTTTAAACAACTTAATCTAACAGCTGAAATGTCTCCTCAGCCTTAAAGGTCATTTTATTACACACAAGCTCAAGAAAATTGTTAAAAAATATGGAAATGTTGAATATTATGCCTTTAAAAATAAAGAAATGTAACCCAGTGCAACCAACCTCTGTTTTTCTGATAAACAGCCTTCACTTTTTGCTGTTGAAAATATAAAATGTCATTAATAATGTGCGATCACCTGCCCGTGAGCCAGACCCTCAAAACCATCATGGACAGCCAGCATGTTGTGACCCTGGATGATTCCCATCCTGACTGTTGCACGAACCGCCGCGTTCATCCCAGCGCAGGGAGCGCCGATATTCATCACAGCCATGTTGATGTTGCTCTGCCGTTAAAGCAAACAACTGAAAGAGTCAGTTTAATTTAAAAAGTGCATGATTTGTTCCTTTCAGACAAGTCTGAGGAGCAAAAGGAGGATTGTCACCTTCACATCAGGAGGATTGATGTGGGCCAGCAGCTTGTACGAGTTCCAGTTATTCTCGAAGCTCCTGCGAGTCAGATTAAACGACAGCATTTTAGCCTAAATGAAACTAAACTGTTTCTTTATCAGTCAGAAGCAGGTAGATAATTGAATTGTCACTCAAAACCAAGTCCCCTGACATTTTAGATACATACTTTCCTCTGAGCTTGATGGCTTCCTCAAATTTGCCCTGACTCATGGCCGCCGTCACGTCTTTGGTCTGTGAACGTGTGGAGACGAGAAATCAGGAAACCCTTCGTTGCAAGCTCACTCGTGTTCAGATGGTAAATATATTTTGACATACTAATTGCACACACTCCATGAGGGGAAGTCTGACCGCCTGGTTTCCTGATAGGCTGACCACACAGGCAGGAGTGTCTGGAGTGGCCTCCAGCAACGCCATCACTGCCTCCACACCCATCCTGCTACCCTGAAACAAACACACACACACACACATTCACCATTAAGATCACCGTATGTGTGTGAGAACAAACACACTATAGACTGCTTTTTCAGTGAGAAAGTCACTAGGATCCTGTCGAAGGCTGAGGGCGTCCCTCCTCTCTGGACGTGTCCAAGAACCGTGGTGCGGGTGTCAAAGCCGAGCCTGTCTGTCACCAGCTGCAGACAAATCAACCTAAACATCATTAGTGAGTGAATCAGTGTAAAAAAAAAAAAAGCTGATAAAAAGAGGGAGGAGCTCACCTTTTTGATCAGGTCAGATGAAATCGGTTTGCCGTCTTTGGCGAGCGCGCCCTCTGCAACAATGATCACATTCAGACGGGAACCTCGAGCTCTTTGCTGAAATTTAAAAAAAAATCTGAATAAGGAAGACTGTATGCGATTCTGGCCGGCAAGTACGGAGCTGTAACTCACGTCTGTCAGCCTCCTGCACAGGTGGTCCTCCCAGCCGTCATCTGGTGGCATCTCGGGAATAAACACCCAGTCAGCAGCACAGGCCAGAGCCGTCACCAGGGCCAGGTACCTGCAACCACACACAAACAACAATAGCTGACCTGAGCTGTCAAATGTGCTGTAACTAGTCTGTGGTGACTGACGTTGGAACACACACACAAATCTACGTTTTTCCCACACCAGGATTTATTATTGCATTCTTTATATTGCAGCACGGGTAGAAGTTGAGTTAAAAAGTGGAAATCAAAAGAGGCTGCAGACTAAAGCCTTACCTCTAAGCAGTTCAAATTAGATAATGACATGTTTTCATAACAATATGTCAAGACTCTAATTTATCAATTTGGAATCTCCTATTATATTATAACAGAGGAGTCAGTTGAGGTGGCTCGTGCATCTGGTCTGGACACCCCTCTGGTGAGGTTTTCCGGGCACGTCCAAACGGGAGGAGACCCAAGGGAAGACCCAGGACACGCTGGAGAGACTGTCTCTCGGCTGGCCAGGGAACGCCTTGGGATTCCCCCGGAGGAGCTGGCCCAAGTGGCTGGGAAGAGGGAAGTTTGAGCCTCTCTGCTTAGACTGCGGCCCCCACTACCTGACTCCGGATGAGTGGCTGAAAACGGATTGATGGCTGGAATATATTTTTGAGGGGGATTCCAACATTACATTTGGAATTTGGGAAATCTTATTTCTTTTTTTTTTTTTTTTTTTGAGGGAGGGGATGCTGCATTTTATTTAATTTTGTTTGGACTATTTGAGTTTTAATAGAACATCTGCCTTTCATTTGGAAATCTTACATTTTTGGGGGGAGGGGGAAACAGTCACCAGCCTTTTTTTAACATCCTTTATTTAATTAGGAAATCTTCCATCTTTTAATTTGACATCTTGAATTTTTCTTGGAAATTCAGTATTTTATTTTATCAGAGTGTTAAACATTCAGCCTGGTTATGTGCTCCCAGTCTGTTGTGTTGTAGAAACGTAAACAATACTGACCCACAGTGTCTGCCCATGACCTCCAAAATAAAAGTCCTCTGGTGGCTGCAGATTAACACAAAATACAAATCAATCATTACATTTTCACACATTTCTGTATTCACAGTCACAGCAGAATAAAACTAGAAGAATCCATACAGCCTTTTCCCACTACGTTAGAGCCTTTCCTGTCACAAAAACCCTTTTACTCTGTAAAGAGTTTATCAGAAAACTGCATTTGATTTTCCTCCCGTACATGTTTACAACCTCTTAATGCCTGACCTTTGTGCAGTTGTGGTGATGGAGTCCATCACCTCGATGATGCGATGCAGGGCAGAGTCGGTGCCGATGGTCATATCGGTGCCACAGAAATCGTTGTCGATGGAACCGACCATGCCGACGATGTTCAAGTGAGAGGATTTCTTGGCCTCTTCTTGAGTAATCTTTCCTGTAGTGAAAAAATGTACCAATCATGTGACTTTATACCTTTATGCTCAGCAATGGTTCCAAATAAGAATGAAAGTGATTTTAAAAAAAGACATGGAGGATGATCCCTTTACCAGCTCGGACCAGGTCGACTAACAGGCCGCTCCACTCAGTCCTGAACTCGTTGGCGCCGGTCAAACTGCCGTCTCCTCCTATCACGCACAGGTTGGTGATCTCGAGCTTCACCAGGTTGCAGGCCGCCTTCATGCGCCCCTCCCTGGTTCTGAAGTCTTTGCAGCGAGCGCTACCGATGACGGTGCCCCCCTGATAACGGACAGAAACGTGTTACTGGTGTAACAACCTTTTCCAACTCCAAAGAAAGATGTTTGGCACCAATTAAACCACCTGTGTATACAGCAACTCATCATTAAGAAGTCATAAAAATCACACCAAGTCATTTCACAAGCTAAAGGGGTCAAAAGAGACCAAAGGTTTCCATTCATGTCCACGCATCCATGCCAGGCTGCTTTTAGACACCAGAGATGAGAGAAATGTTAATCATGAGCTTCACATCCTTCAGTGCTTTGGCCGAGTCGCTCGTTTAATGTCGCATCTCAAAATCAGAGTATCGAGTTATTATGAGAGCCTCTGAATCCCAGAGGAAGCTCCATGTGACAAAGTTAAAGGTCACAAAGGTCATGAAATAGAGAAGAATTAACTCTATAGTGAGTCTGTACTTAAATAACATTACATTTATTCTGAATAGAACAGCAGCTTCAGTGTGAGTTTTTTAGGTTTTAAAAGATGGTCAAACATTCAGGAGGAAACAGAAAATTTTATGATTGACTCGTTGACTACAAGGTGCTGAAAGTAGGTCCAAATCATCAATCCTCCCCCACCATGCTGGACAAATAAGCTGCTGTAATTTTGTACGATGTATCAAACATCTCCACACTGAACTGCTCTGAGACGTTGCAGAACTGTGTCCTTGAAAACATTTTCTATTCAACAATAATCTAAGTTCATCTCACCAGCTGCAGCATCATGGAAACGCTCTCCCAGGTGGCAGGGCAGATGTTCTCACCTCCATCCACCAGGCCCTGATAGCCCTACAGTGCACACACAGATTTATTCATTCATTCCTCATTGGTGTACGGTGATGACCATTTGTGGGGTTGCAATGAGCCGTTATGCAGCATTACCTCATGAACAAAGTAGACTTTGGCTCCAGTGTAGAGGCCAACTCTAACCGTAGCTCTCACAGCAGCATTCATACCTGAGAACCATAAAAACCTTTTACCGATTGGTTGTTTACAGACAATAAAAAGCAGATATCACTGGGATCGTATCAGACATCAGATCTCAGTCCCATCATAGCCTTTAAGTGACTCTGCCCAAAGGTTGGCCCAAGATCAGACAAGAATAGCCCAAAGGAACAAGAACAGGAGTTTGTGTTGTGGCCTGGTGGATTTTGGCAGCTCCTGTTTCACCAGACAGCAGCTGTGGATGAGTGGGCGTTTCTATCCCCCCATACCAGAAAAAGGTCATCAGCACTAAAATTAGCCGCAAAGAGGGGGAAAAAAATGGGGAACGGGTGACAGCCACAAGGGGCAAATCAATACAAAAGGCTGGAGATGAATTATGAGATAAATGCTGCATGGAAACAGAAAATGAGACATGATACAATTTGGTTTGTAGAATAAAACCAATATGGGACGTTTTATTTAGAAAACCTTCCAGCTGCAAACCATGAAGATTTAAAAGTTAAACATCAGATGTGCAGTAGATCTGAGATACATTTTAAATTATTTGTGCCACTTAAGTCTAATCTTTACATAATTGTCTGATTGAGATCCTTTAATGGGACTTACTAATTTTTTATCTTAACAATGGGAGCACCTCATGCTCTGCTTACCCTGGGCATCTCCTCCTGATGTCAACACAGCAATGGACCGTCCAAGGCCCATCTTCGTGGGATCCATTGTTGGATGAGGGTCCTTGGACATGTTAGGGGATGACCGGTGTCCTGAAGTGGAGAGGGCCAGAGGAAATGACAGAGTGCTCCTCCTTCACTGCTCAAAGGGGGAGTCACAGGATTTGAGGACTACCGTTTCCACTCTCACCCCCTCCCACTGACAACTCCAACAGTCTCACTCATGGCTCTACTAAATATAATCTGCAGGGGACAATTAGACAGAGAAACACAAAAGGATCAGGCGGACTGTGGTGAAATTACACTAATCTAAAACTGGTAACACATTTAGTTCTAAAGCTCTGAATCTACAGACCTCCACTGAGATGATCTGAAAATAGAAAGGCCCCTGACCTTCCAGAGCTCTGGGAGCAGCAGTAACCCTTCAGAAAATGTTTACTTGAACTCACCTTTGCAGTTCTCAAATGTTATTTGGACTAATAAGAGAAAACATGAGCACTTTGAAATGGTATCTTGAGCAAGTAGGAAGGGTTGTTGTCCTGCTCTCCTTTCACAAATTCCTTCGTACTCTTGGTTATGAAGAAAGGTGGCTCCAATCCTCAGCGGTGTCGCTGATTTCTTCTTTGGTGTTTTACGGAAGCTTGCATCCACAACTTGTGTTTTATTCACTACTGGGTGTTTAAATACACCAAATTGCTTCTTCTTCCAATCAGACATCTGTGTATTAAATCATTTCCTTACAGCTCACGCGAGGTTTTCATGTACAGCAGAAGCCAGTCCCTGCATCTTCGTGGGTGCGCTTGTTTTACATCGCAGCGCCTCCCCCTAGATTTTTTTTCCCCCACTGGAAATCAACACAAAGAAATTGCTACAATAAAAAGCTTTATATGTGTAAATTTGAGTATTTTTGTTTGAAGAAAAAGTCAGTTTTTCCTGTTTGATGCAGTTTAGGGTTTCTGGTTTATGCATCAAACCAAAATCAGGGTTTTAGGGTTAGGGTTTCAGAGTGCCTCAGATGGGATCATAAAGGTGCAATATGTAGAAATGATGTAAAAACATTACATCCTATAGTAATAATTGGTTATTGCAACCACTTTAAACAACAAGTTTTTTGCCGGCTGCCGTCAAATTACAATTGTTTGCGCTGCAGAAATGTTATTGTATCAAAACTGATGGTTGTACAAAATATGGTTCAAATAGATCTTAATTGGTTGATTTGAAACTTGTTTTTCTTGATTATAAATATTAATTTTTGTTTGAGAAAATCTTATATATATTTAAAAAATTGCTCAACCACAGGGGAACATATTTGAAAATTTTTTATTCATACTAAAGTTATATAAAAACACTTGCATCGTTCAAGAAAACAAGAATCATCTCTCATGCAGCGGAGAGCCGTGTAACTGTGAAGGACCAGAGGACAAGTCAAAGATGATTGGAACAAATTTCTGGAAAAAGAAAAAAAAAGTTTTTTGTAATTAGATGTTTTGTTGGGAAATGAGCTGCATTCTGATGCTGTACGGACACATCTATGGACCATTTTCACATCTGAAAATATTGAAGTTTGAAGATCGTTTTAGTCAAATACCGCTCACCTTTTTAAAAGATGGAAAAGGGATAAACAAAAATGTACTGCAAAAGTAATGGATGTAGACTTACAGTGGATTCCTCAAAGAGCAAAATGGAGGCCAGTGGGTTCCCACAGCGAGGCTGAGGGGGGAGAAACACAGCTGGGCCAGAGACAGAGGTGTAGGTTGACACCTCCTCGTCCAAACGCAGCTCCTCCAGGCGCTTTCTCAACATCACCACCGCAGGTTTCAGAGGAAAGGCTTTTTCAGAAATTAATTCTGCAACAAAAGAAACCAATAAAAGACAACTGTAGGACGCATTATGGGATGTGCTGGATGGTAAGAGTACCTCTGTGCAGTAGAACAGAAGAGCTGTTGGGGTGAGCTGGTTCAGACTCAGCGGATGTTTCTTTGGGAGATGCTGGCAAGTTCATCTGATCGGATGAAAACGGACCAGGCTGATCCTGCTGAGCCGAGACTTCTCCATTCTCAGGACGTGGAGCTCTGAATAAGTTTTTACCCGTTGAGAAAAAGATGACAGACTCTCTCGGCTGTGCTAGGGAAGTCCACTCCTCCTCCTCCTCATCACAGTTAATTCTACACGCTTGCAACTTTTCCTTACAGGGACTGTTATTCTGAAAAGGTTGAGAAGGAAAAACAAACTTAATTTCTTCAGTTCATTTAAAGGGAAAGTCACCCCCTGCCAGATTCTTACTCAACTCCCACTTCCTGTTTGAAAAATGCAACAAATGCTGTTGCCTAGCAGACCGAGAGGGCGGAGCCTCAAACAAATACACGCACTCACGACATTGTGACATCATAATGTACCATCTAACATCATAGTGTACCTCTTAGCCAATAGCGATGGCAGATTTAAATTCAAATGCAGTGCTGAGTTTTTGCCTGACGGTGCATCGCTGACAGTTTTAGGCAGAATATTTAAATTTGAACTAAGATGCACTAAAGTGCCGAACTATTGACTACACTTATCTGCAGCACAGTCAGGCACTCATTTATATAATTTATCAGCAAAAAAAAAAAAATGGTGATTTGGAGTGACTTGCTCTTTAAATTAATGAGTACGAATCTCTCATCTTTAATTTCTCTTCTTACAGAAGAGACTTGTAGTTGCTCCTTTTGGGTCATGGGTTCTTTGTTCATCCTAGGTGTCTTCTGATCTTCATCTTGATCCTCAAATAATCTCTGAACCACCCCCTTGAAATAAATGAAGCAAGAAAGATTTACTCAGATCAAGTTTCTGGAATAAGTTTTAATTAAACATTAAATACTTTTACACAGCAACAGACTTTTTTCAGCAGATTTTAGCTTTAACTATATAAAATGTTCATAGGCAAAGATCAAAAGGTTCGAACCAATCAAGATTTCTGAAAGTCACAATGGAATTGGCTCTTCATATGTTTGACTCACCTTCTGACATGGCTGAAATTTGTTTTTGCTGTTCTCGGGTCCAGGAGTGCCGAGTGTGTGAGTCAGTTTCTGCAAACAGAAGCAAGCCAAGATCAGTAGCTGCAGGAAACAAAATGAACATGTTGAACAGTACGATCTGCGTACAGACCATAGAAGACATGGGCTGATGTTTCGTGTTTCGGACTCTTTGTGGAGTCCATTTCTGCAAAGGAGTCTCTTTGAATGCTGCAGGTGAAAGTAGCCATGTTGGAGCAAATAAGAACAAGCAGATGAGGATGTATCAGGTCCTTCAAGATAAAGACGCTACACCTTACCCGCTGGACAAAAAGACACTGCCCCCTCTGTGTTTTTCTTCTTTACAGGCACTCTCTGAGCCTGATAAGTGAAGTACAACAACCATCAGTAAAAGACTACAGGAATGAGAGAATCTGGAGTCAGATCACATTTCTTACAGTGTAGATAGAAGTGTTCCTGTTCGGTGGACAGACTGAGGTTGTGGGTGTGGCTCCAAAAGCCCCCCCAGCCTTCACGCCTTCATTCTGCAGGACACTTTGTAGAGCGGCAGGGTCTAAAAAGAACTGCACCCTCGCTAAGCCTGCATGACAGACAAGGCACACAGTAAGTAAAAAGCTAAAAATCGGTTTCCATAAAAGTGATTAACTCAGGATTACATTCATTTAGGGGCTAAATAGCAAATCAAACTTTGTTACTAATCAGAAGTTTCTCCATTATGAGCTGTGTCTGCAGAATTGAACTGATTACACACCCCAACTTTGTTTTTGCACAGTTAATTTTTATGGGATTTAATATTTTAGGTATGAAGTCAGCAATAATTGAAGGCATTTGAGAACCATTTAAAAACACAAGAAGATAAATGTCATATCCTGCCTGTGGAGAATTTAAATACATGAACAGCAATCTTTTCTGTAATGCAGACCTGTAGTGGGTCCGGCTTTCGGTCGACTCATCACAGACACACGCATTGGCTGTCGACAAAGCAAGTATATATATGAAAAAAAAAGTGATTGCAAACACTTGAGTTGGGCATACATGCATTTGCAAAATAATAATAAAAGCAAGGGCTTTTTAAATGTTAAATTTAAATGATCAAAACCCACCAGATTGTTGCGGGATTTGGACTGTGGAGTTCTCAGAGCTTGACCTGTGAGACTAATTCCCTCATTTCTGAGAATACTGAGTAATGCTGAATGGTCTGGCTGGAAGCTCTTCCCTTTGTCTGAGAATAAACAAAGTACAGCCAAGTCTCAGTTCAGTTACTGCAAATTTTAATAAATTAATGCTTTTCCTTCACACAGACGTGAGTGTACAGAGAAACCGGCTCACTTACCACTTAAAGCTTTTGAAGGGTTTCCTGGTGTGGTCTGGTCTGAGGACTTGGTGGTTTCTTTGAGACTGAGCAGCTTCATGTTTTCCAAAATAACCTCTGCACCGGCAGCTGACTTTGCAGAACTACCTTCATCCTGATGCACAGCGTTGCTGGGCTTTGAACGCAGAGGAATGTTTGAAGTCTTTAATGGGTTGAACTGTCCTGACACCTGAGATGCATTTTCAGAAGTCTTTCCATGAGACTTCTTCACTTTTTTATTTGATTCTCCTTGATGTTTACTGGGTTTTTCACCATGCACACTGGTTTCAGGCTGAATATCGCGAGTGTTTGTTTTTGTTGTGCGTTTGGATTGAGAGAAGTTGAAAGGCACTGGCCTGGTACACAGCTTCTTTCTCTTAGCTTTACTCTGCAGAAAAAATGTTTAAAAAGAAAGAAAAACAAAAAAGTTTATGTAATTAAATAAAGTAATCTGATTTAATGTGACAGGAAGGAGATACTTACAGCTAATGTTTTACTTTCCCACTGCATGTGCTTAAATTCAGAGGAAGTTTGAAGACTGAGGGATTTTGCAAGAACTGGAATTCTGCTTACAGCTGGCTGCATGAAAGGCTTTCGAACACATCCCGCTGGATCTTTGTTCTCACAATCTTTACTCGAAAGGTGTGTTGTTGGGATGTCTTTGAAAAGCTTTGCATCCGCTCGAGTTTTGTTTTGTTCATTATTTGTTCTGTGTAACAACAAGTGGATGCAAAAGAATCGTTAATCTGTACACCTAAACCATCTGACATTATTATGTAGAAATCCAATTGCAATCACATTATAAAACATCCACAAACACGAGTTAAAGGCATTTTAGAATGAAACGAGAGCTATCCGATCGAGACAAATCCCTTTGGTGCTACACAAAACTTTAATACAAAAAAAAAATCTAAATCCAATACTGATCAGGTGTTTAAGTGATTTGATATACCTTTTTAAGTCAAAAAGGATTTTCTTCTGGGTTTGATCACGAAGGACTGGAAACGAATCCATGATGATCCCTTGAGAAGTAGGAAAGATGGAATAAAAGGTGAGAATATGGACAACAAAAGGACCAATAACGACAGCAAGAGACAAAACCTGAGCAGCTAATTACAACGAATAGCGAGTCTGATAGTGGACAAAACAGTCCAATCACGTTGTCACACAAATAAACGCATCAGATAGTAATAAGAAATGTATAGCACACACGAAAAATAATAAACAGGCTAGCTTTACTCCCACGGCTACAGTTAAAGCTCATGCTGATTCAACTGAATCAGTTGCTACATATTTTGCTACCTTTAAGCAGATAAAAGCCTGTATTCTCTTCCTTCTTGAATAACTAACGACAATATTCAAAAACACTTACTGCTCAACCTTTAGTTTACCTGGCGTTTTGAGCAATTTAAAGATCTATCTTCTTGTCTTACAACCAACGAACTCGTTAACTTCCGGGACTCTCAACAGTTTGTAATCAGCGCGCTTCGACATTGGTCAGTAAATGAAGCCAGCTCAACCAATGAGAGTGCGTGAATCCATTTGGGTAGCCAATGAGCAACGGATTTTTATAAACAAGCTCCATAGCAACGACGCAAAGTTGCTTTACCACGTGACTTTTTTGCCGCGACCTCAAACAGCCACAGTGGTCACTCAAATAAATAGAAATAGGCGAAAGTATGCGTAAATCTTTACTAAAAATCAACAAATCTGAAGTTTTTTTTTCCCTGAAAATTTAATATGAGAGCGGGAGAAAAAAACTGGTCTGGACTGAAATGTTGGAACGTCTTGAAATGGTAGAAAAATAGTTTGACCATATGGAGGTAATGTTTTGGGCAGAGATGGGAATTGTGGCATTAGCAAGTCATCTCCATTCCATGTTTTTGTTCTGCTCAACAACTGAACCAGGTTCATTCACTATGCTGATTAAAATATCCTGGCTTTGTTGTTGAGCTGAAGAAAAATATGGCATGGAGATGACTTTGATACCACAATTCCCCCATCTCTGGTCATGGGCATCACAGGCGGCTTCAGTCTTCTAATCAGTCTGTCTTTCTTAAAGGGTGAAAAGAAGTCACAGTGCTGTGCAGTATCATGTGTGTACCTCACTAAATAAGTACAACAGAAAGCGAAGGAGGTAGAAGTTTCATGTGTTGACAAAGACATTTGTTGGCAAGCAAAATCCATAAACCCCCTCTAAACAGTGTTTAGGGATGCACATGGATGGATGGATGGATGGATGGATGTTATTCAGATGTTTAAAGTAAACAGGAGGACTGTAGCCAACAGTCCTGGATGTGAGTGCAAGAGGAAAGTTGATTACAAATTGACTGATAATATAAATGCATGGTGGTGCAGTTGTTAGCACTGTTGCCTCGCAGCACGAGGGTTGCAGTTTCGAAACTCGGCTGCGACCTTTTTGCGTGGAGTTGCATGCTCTCCCCATGCATGCGTGGGTTTCCTCTGGGTACTCTGGTTTCCCCCACAGATCACAACATGTAAGTTGCTTTGGATAAAAGTGTCTGCCAAATGAATAAACATAAACATGCATTTTCATTTAAAAAAAAAAGCCTAAAGAAAGAAATTTGAGTTGAACTCCATAACCAAGGCACACTTGTGTCATATAACACAATTTATCCCTGTGTGAGCTGAAGGAGACTTAATGAAAGATGGCCAAGGAGGAAATCACTGAGGACTGTCAATCATTAAAAAAAGACTGGTATTTGCCTACATTAATATTGACAAGACACAAAAATAGCGGAAAGGGGATTTAAATAAAAAGAAAACCTAGTGTCAGCTCCTCCTACAGGATGATCACCCAGGTAAACACAACCAAGAATGGAGAATAACAAGCTAATGAACTATTCCAAAGAGGCCAGCTATGAACCTTGATCAATATCCTGATGACCATCATGGAATGAGTTGAAACTTCTGGGCAAGGTACACTTCAAACCCGAGGCAGTTGGAAGTTAGCATTTAGATGGGCCCCATATTGGAATATCTGTGGGCCCCCAACCCAACAGGTAAGTCTGACAGTATTTTTTTATTTTAGAAAACTGTAACTTGCATAGATTTTTTAAATAAATCCTTGCATATTTTAAGCAGGACCCTCCCTCTTCAGTGCTTGCAGGCATCCAGCAGGTGTCGCTGCCATCAGACTGCTTAAGTCTAGAGCCTGCCCCACAGCACAGTGTGTGTCAGCCGTCACTCAGGGCCCCAGTTGTCAACAGCAGAGGGAAGAAGACACACAGAAGAGGAAATCAGAAAAGAACGCTGCTGCAGTCATGGACCTGCGGTCTGAGCTGCTCAAGTCCATCTGGTATGGGTTCACAGCCCTGGATCTGGAGAAAAGTGGGAAGGTGTCCAAGTCTCAACTGAAGGTGAGTGAAGCCTCCTCTATTTGGAAGATTGGGACGAGAAAATACTTTATTTTTATCATCACTTTTCAGGTTTGATTTCTTTACTTGAGCTGCGACATTTCCTCCTTGATCTCTCTATGAAGAAATGGAAAATTCCCAGTTGATCAGGATACTAAATAAGTCCAAGAAATACTTTCTTGTTTAATCAACTCCAGGAAATGAGGTTGTATCTTATTTTATCTACTATATTTCCTGTGTCAAGCAGTTTTTTTTTAAATTTGTGAATGACTCAACGAGGAACAGTTTTGTTCCTTATATTTTGAGTGAAAATCTTACACCGCTGAAAAAGTACAATATCCACCTCTGTCTGGCAAAGGCACGAGAGTAACAGTTTACTCTCAGTTTTGTATATGAATGGCACCCCTCATCCCCAAGCTGGGCTCACACTGAGCCATCTTGTAGTGCAAAGAGACCTCTGGCACTGGAGAGCAGCCTGTTGAACAGTGTATGCTCACAGCAAGTGCGTCAAACAGAACATTGTTATACAGAGAGCGAGGACAAAGTGGAAACATGCTGTGAGAGTTGTGTCTTGCCCCAGCCAGCTCCTCAGTAACGCCACTGTACTTTATTTTTATTCATTTTTTTCTGTTATGTCATCTGGTGTAGCCCAGACTCCATTTGCGGCCTGCTCCACCTTCCAGCATTTGTTAGATCCTGGCTTACAGCCTCATGACTGGGCTTATCCCCCCTCCAACCCACAAACTGCCTACGTCGTGTAGAGGCACTCAAAGTTAAGTGCTGTGGCCTGAAAAGGTGGCAGATGTCGTAGGGCCCCGGAGGCAGGATGTGGTTTAGACTCAGCATGCTGAAACTAGGTAGCTGCAGACGACTCAAGATGCTGCACTGACTTAGTGGCGGAAATAAGGTGGGAAAGCAGTGATACTAGCCAAAGCACACTTTTTATATGGTTATTTATACCATGCTTCATATGGTAAAAAATCACTGACAGTTCCTTTATGCGTAAGTATTATTCTACAGCTAATCTAGTATTATTTCTACAGCATTAAACTCACTTTACATCAGCAGTGACTAAAAACTATTGGTGTTAAAGTCTTTCTACGCAAATGGTATGGCATGGAAATGGGAAGAAACCATTTGACCCAAGACAGAACATCACTACAGAAGTCAACTCTTGTGCGTATCTGCTCACAACTACAGGAAATACTGCCTAACACACTCTCACACACACATGCATGCATGCACGCACGCACGCACACACACACACACACACACACACACACACACACATGCACGCACACCAAAGCTGCACATCTAAGGGAAGTTATTAATTATGCATGCACACAACTTTCAGTTTTAAGTAACTTGTTGTGTTCCACAGCTGAATGATGAGGATGAAAACTACAACTTTAAAGGTTGAATATGGAACAGTTTAATAACAAGCTATACTTTAAAAAATAGTACCTCGATGTTGTTGTAGTCATCCTTCTCAGAAGAGGAGCGACAATAAAAGATCTAAAACCAGGGTGAGTTTAGGTGAGGCCTACAACAGATGGACCCAATAAAAATGTTCACGTAACGGCAGCGAACCTGGCATCCCGATGGCTGGAAACCTTGTTCTACTGTTGCAACTACAACCTCCACACACTAGATGTCGCTTTTTATTCCACCTTTAATAGTTTGACAACATTAGTTTATTCATCTTGGAATCCAAAGAGTCTTAAAGATTTTTTAACCACAATGATTTGTTAGTCGTTTTCTTTTTTGACAGATTTATAAAGTTTCTACAACTCGTTCATGTTTTCTTCCCATTTTCAGACCTGTATTATTTCACCATGACCTTGATCACATTCTCAGTCATGAAGCAAGACACACGAGAACCATGAATGATCACAATTAAATAGAACACACACCACATGTTATTTTTACAATGTAGTAATTATTCAGAACACTGTTGTCAGTGTTTTTGACCTGATTCTTTCTCTGAGTAATTAAAGTTTTTTTTATTGACTGAAAATGTGACCAAGCATGTTATTTCAGTGTTTTAACCTCTTCAAAGTTAAAGTCCTATTAGTCATCACTGGTGAAATTACATCTCCGCATTTGACCCATCCCTGTGGGGAGTGGTAAGCTGCAGCAGCGGCTGGGCTCGGGACATATTTGGTGGTTTAACCCCCCAATCCAACTCCTTAAAGATGAGTGTCAAGCTGGGAGGCATTGGGTCCCATTTGTAAAGTCTTTGGTATGACCCAACTGTGGATTTGAACCTGATCTCGAACACTCATACCACCAGACCACTGAGCAAGTTTGTGTGTGCACAAAAGTTTTGTGATGATCAACACTTAAGATTTCAGATTCTCACCAATTATTTTGTAACATTTTTATGTGAAGTTGCAGAAATGATCAAACACGCTCTCTAATTCTATAAAAACATCGTGTGTTATAACATTTTTGACAAGCAATATTTATCTTCTTGCTCACTTTGGATGCATGTTGATTGGCATTATGTTTGCTAAACAGTGTTTTCACACAATCAGCAGAAAATCAAAAGATTTGAACTAACTTGTTTTTCCAGTGCACTTTTCCTCTTTGCCATTTTGAAATATTTTTGATTCTGTTTTTTGTGAATTTTCAGGTTTTGTCTCATAACCTTTGCACAGTCCTGAGTATCCCACATGACCCGGTGGCTTTAGAGGAGCACTTCAGAGATGACGACGACGGTCCTGTTTCCAGTCAGGGCTACATGCCTTACCTCAACAAATACATCCTGGATAAGGTGACTAACATCACAACATCATGCTCTTTTTGCCTCACAGACACCTCAGTGTAATTTTCAAACTCTGTTTCAGGTTGTGGAGGGCTCTTTTATTAAGGAGAATGTAGACGAGCTCTGTTGGACTCTCACGGCGAAGAAAAACTACCAGCCTGACAGAAGCAGCAGCTCCATCCTACCAGAGAAGGATGCTTTTCGACTCTGGTGCCTTTTTAACTTTCTCTCTGAAGACAAGTACCCGTTGGTGATGGTTCCTGATGAGGTGTGTTCCAACAGAATGTTCTATAAATCTGAGACTCCAGCTGTTAATCTGCTGGATCGGAAACAAGGACTGAGCGTTTGCTTTTTTTCCACCGTGGAAGACTTTTTGTGTCGCGGTGTGGGCTTGTTTCTCACTTGCAGAAACTCATGTTGGTTTCCTGTTGTGCATTTTTCAATGCCACTGCCAAAGGAAAGCCTCAAATTTCAAGGCAGAGTGTTTTTTTTTAGTTTGTTACATGCAATTTAAAGAGCAAGTCACCCCCAAATCACATTTTTTTGCTGATAAAACTATATAAAGGAGTGTCTAATCATGCTACAGACACGTGTAGTCAATAATTTGGCAGTTCATTGCATCTTGGTTAAAATTAAAATATTCTGCCTAAAACTGTCAGTGTTGCACCGTCGTCAGGGAAAAATTCTGCACTGTATTTGAATTTAAATCTGCCACCGCTATTGGCTAAGAGGTATGCTATGATGTCATCTGGTATATTACGATGTCATAATGCCATTGTGAGCCTATGTGTGTGTGTATTTGTTAGCGGCTCCGCCCTCTCGGTCTGCCAAGCAACAGCATTTGTTGCATTTTTCAAACATGAAGTGGGAGTGAAGTAAGTTTCTTGTAGGGGGTGACTTGCTCTTTAAGAAAACACCATCCACACCAGTTTTATTTTAGGAGATTTTTCACACACCGACCACTGAGAACATTCCATGACAGAAAGACTGCAAAAAAATAAAAAAAATAAATAAAAAATACACAAATACAGTTTGAGATGCTGTCAGAGATGTGTTTTTAAATTCAATTATTTTACAAGTAAACTTTTTTTTCACTTATTCTGAAAAGCTTCACATGAAACAGCATCTTTTGCAGGAAATCACAAAAATAAACAGGTGTTTAATTGTGAAAACCATTAAAAAGTCACAGAAAAGTAACTACAAACAATTTAAAAGCTAACAAATTCTCCTCTCCTGCAGGTGGAATATCTCCTCAAGAAGATTTGCACGGCAATGAGTATTGAGTTTAGTGGTGCTGAATATGAGGACTTCTTCTCCCAGGATTCAGCTCAGCAAAGTGGAATCACTGTCTGGGCCTTCCTGGAGATGATGAACTCTGGAAAAGTAACCAGAGGAATCGATAAAGGAATTATCACCATGGCTATTGAGGAGGTGTACAGAGAGATTGTCGGTGATGTTCTCAAGGAGGTAAAGGGCAGATCTGCTGACTGATACATCTGTTTTTTGTTCAATCTTGTTTTTGTTTGAGTCAGTATGTTGGTTTGGATGCTTGCAGGGTTATCTGTGGAAAAAAGGTCAGCTCAGGAGAAACTGGAAGGAGCGCTGGTTCACTCTGAGGCCCAGCAACTTGTCGTACTACACCAGAGAGGACCGCAAAGACTGCCAGGGTAACATAGTCCTGGACGGGAACTGCTGTGTGGAGGTGAAATGTTTTTCTGTTTGCACACAAGAAAAAGAAACTGTCTGCTGATTCATCTAGTTTCTTTTGTTGAGCGAAAACCTTTTTTTCTTTCTTTTATAAAAGTGAGAAAGTCCCCAAGGTGAATTAAGTGAAGCGGTGAGGCCCACAAAATGGTTACCAGATGTTTGATTAAACCATAACACAAAGATTCACATTTCATTTTTAAGAGGAATAAAAACGAAGACTCCAACTTTGTGATGCTTTAAAAGAGCTGAACTTAATCTTTTGTGATGTTCGGCACTATTTTGAAACACAGGTGTTTCCTGGGGTGAGGCCAGAGGGGCCCTGGCTCCTGCTCAAATCTGATTGGTCCTTGTCTGTCTAACATTTTATAAAACAATCCCAAAGATGTGTTTGTATTTTGGAAGTAAGATACATTTTTTATCAGTATGGATGATTTTATTGGATTATTTAAGTTAGAAAATGGTAGTTATTAGCAAAAATAAAAATCACCTAACCTTGGCCCATAAAATCTTAGCTCAGCCTCTGCTGAGGAGCAACATCAGTGTAGCAGGCTCAGAGAAAGGTGAATTATTAGTTAGTAGTTGGGATTTTTACGATATTTGAGACCATTAAACAGTCTAAAATAAATTTAAATAAACTGATGTGGTTAAAGAAAACTTTTTAGAGCTAATAAAAAGCACCAATGCACCTTTTAGATTAGATCAGGTTTGTAGAAGTTGTGTTTTCCCCTTTATATTAAACAAAAGAAACCTTTAGTTTGGCTTTTCTAAAACAACACATTTACCCCTATACTTTGCACGATTGATTTTATCTTTTGTCATATTTTCCTTTTTACTGTAATCTGATTACTGAAGGCAAGAGTTGCCTCCAAAGTTTCTCACTTATTTTTAAATATCACCTTTTCTTAATGTCATCTGTTTTCATTGCTCTTACTAGTCCCTGCCACAGTTTGCTTTGAGAGTGACGAAGTTTTGAATTCAAGAAAAAATGATTGTTTCCTGCTTGTTTAGGTGCTGCCTGACCGAGACGGGAAGAGGTGCATGTTTTGTTTGAAAACTCTTTCTAAGACTTATGAAATGAGCGCCTCAGACACCAAACAGAGACAAGAGTGGACTGCAGGTCAGAGGAGACTGATGCTTTTGTAAGATGAAATAAAAAAACACCCCTAAAAGTTTCATTTTCCTGTTGATGCATTAAACAGAATCTTCTTCACAGCCATTCAAACAGCCATCAGGCTGCATGTGGAGGGGAAAAAGTCTCTCCATAAAGACCTGAAGCTGAAGCGACAGGAACAGCGAGAGCAGCGGGAGAAACGACGACAGGCCAAAGAGGAGGAGCTGCAGAGGCTTCGGGCCTTGCAGGAGGAAAGGGAGCGCAAGTTGGCTGAGCTGGAGCTCCTGAAGGAGGCTCAGAAACAGGCTCAGTCCCTCTTGGAGCAGGACGAGCAGAGGAGGCGCCAGCAGCACGAACAGCTCCAGCGTACCCTGGAGATTCAGCTTCGTGAGGCTGAGGAGGTAAGCATGGAGGAAAACACAAGCATAGAGTCTTGAGACAGAAAGAGTGATGGCTTCTTTCTTTCTGGGTTCCTTTAGGCTCGGGTCAGTATGCAGGCAGAGATGGCTCTGAAGGAGGAGGAGGCGGAGAAGCAGAGGAAGAGAATCCAAGAACTGGAGGAGATGCAAAAGCGTTTGGAGGAGGCGCTACAGCAGGAGATAAAAGCAAGGCTGGACGAAGAGGCCTTCAGATACGCTCAAGCAGGGTAGATGTCGCATCACACACACACTGCATGACACTATATTTGGCTGTGACTACAGTCGCTTTCGTGGGCAGACATCGAACTCATGTTGCATTAAGTTCCTGAGGAAGTTAACCTGCTGGCAGAGGAAGTTGTTGCACGCTGCTGTTATGGACTGGATCTTCACAGTCGGCTCTCTCAGTGATCAGAGTCGGATATTCAGGTCATGGGTCTCATGCATCTGTCTTTTTCTGCTGCTCTCAGGTTACTGGCAGAGGAGGAGGAGAAGATGAAGGCACTGATGTCCCTGCAGGAGGAGCAGGAGGAGTACATCCTGAAGACAGAGAGGGAGAAGCAGGAGCTGAAGCAGGAAATGGAGGCCAAGTCTCGGGCCCTGGATGAAGCGCAGTGGCAGCTGGAGGAGGTCCGGGCCAACCGGCACAGGGTCGACCAGGATGTGGTGGTGGGTCTGACTGAGGATTATACTTCACATCTGAGTCGATGAAAAGGCTTAGAACAACTATAACTTATCTGTTGTAGATCTTCAATTGCAATTCGTAAATGGCCTGTATCTGTATAGCACCTTCGTAGGGTTCTACAACCCCCCAAGGCGCTTTACAACACAATCATTCACACGCTGGTGAGGATGAGCTACAATGTAGCCCCTGGGGCACACTGACAAAGGTGAGGCCTGCTGAACATTGGTGCCACTGGTCTCTCCGACCACCACCAGCAGGCAAGGCAGGTTAAGTGTCTTGCCCAAGGACACAACAGCAGCATTCTCTGGTCAGACCGGCAACCTTCTGATTACTGGACAACCCGCTCTACCTTCTGAGCTACTGCTGTCCCTCTCATGCAATTGAAAAGCCACTGTCAAACTGGTGCTGGCGTAGTGCTTTGTAAGATAGTGTTTGCTATATTTTTGAGATTGAAGGCAATTAAAGATCCATCTGCTTTGGAATTTGTTTATTTGCGACTAGCTGTTAGCTTATCAGTCCTTCCATAAGCTGAAGAGTTATCTTTTTGTGATTTCTGTTTGTAGCTGTAGATGCTATAGAGAGTTTATGTTTTCCTCTGACAGGCTGCTCAGAGGAAGCTTCGCCAGGCGAGCACCAACGTCAAGCACTGGAACGTCCAGATGAACCGATTGATGCGACCAATCGGACCGGGCGGTGAGCACCTCTCTGGATGAAATGATAGCTCGTGGAGAATTAAGACAACTGTGAAACATTTGCTTGCTTTTCACATTTTCCTTTATTTTGTTTTGAATATCTTGCCCAAATTGTTTCCTTTAAATATAATTTTCTTTCTCTTTCTTAGAGAAAAGACCATCTCTGGGAAGCTCCTACTCCAGCTTCCAGATCCCGACACAGAGAGACCCCGGGCTGCGTCTCAGGAAGAAATCAGAATCCGAGGAACAGCAAAGAAACGAGGAGAGCAAAGAAAATGTGGACAACAGAAGTGGGTCTGATTTAGAGAAACGTCACTCGCACGCCTCAAACGGAGACATGGACATCCCCTAGAGCCGTGAATCAGAGGGGCGCCTCTGCATCGTTCACTTCACTGACATTTTCTAACAAGAAGGCCAAGAGGCATTGACTAATGTGTTATGGAAGCAGTCACCTAAAACTGAGTTTACAGTACTGCTGTTTCACCTAAACGTTGCATTTACTGACCTCACATCAAAGACAGTAACAGTTTTGAGGATTTTCTGTTTTCCTGTCGAACTAACGCTGTCACTCCTCCCTGTGAGAGAAGAAACCTCATTGCAACGAAAGAGAAGTTAAAAATAGAACCACAAAGAATTCACGTTCTATTTTTAAATTTGTAATATTTTTGAAAAGTGACTTTTTGATGTAAAGAATTTGTTCAGTATTAGTTTTTGACATCATTTAATTCCTCATGAACAGGAAAGACAGCGCAAGCGGGGTTGGGTGACTTCCTGTTTCTAATGTCACATTATTGTAAATTTAAAAAATGGATTTATGTTACAACCAGATAAAACGGATGCATCTTTTACTGGTTAAATTTGGTGAATTAAGTAAATAATAAAAAAAAATTGACTTCGAACCAAAAAGGACTAAATAAAATTTTGATTTTATTTTGAACTTCTAAGTAAGAATAAAAGGGGCGGAGCTAACAGATAAAGAAACTGATGCCCACATGGGTCAGTGGTTAAGCTGCTTTAGTTTGAACTGAAACGTTAACTCATTGGTCAGATTAAAACGCGTCATTGCTGACTGATTCAACACCTCCCAGTTACAGACCCTGAGCGAACAGAGACATCACCTGACAAACTGAGTAAACTACATCCTGCTTAGATCCGGCACCCTCAGAGAAAAAGCATTCTACATCTGATAAACTTCTTCATTTAACCTGCTTTTAAACTTTTACTCGTTTTTATTCTCATTAAGCTCTATAATTTTCAGGATTTATGAGAATTTAATTTGGCAAAATAAATGAATAAATATATTAAATGTCTTTGTTTATCTACAGAAGCCATTAAGTTTAACCTAACAAACTGCTTTAAAAGTGCTCTGAGGTTTTATTTATCTAGCATAATTAGGTGTAAATGATTGGTTCAGATGCACCAATTCTGTGAGATTATGTGCAGTTTTAATAATCTGGGAGAAAATCAGAGATTAGGCTGTTTGAGTTATGGTTAGGATTGTCAGTCGTTTAAGATTTTTGGTTTAGCAGCGTTACCAAACTTCAGCAGTTAAAAGTCATAAAATGATAATATAAATAATAATAAAATCATAAATATGAAGCTACTTAAATTAAAAAGCAAAGGTTTTAATTTCATCATCATATTTAAATGCAAAGCCATTTTCAGAACCTTTTACACTTTCTCATTACTTTAATAGTTTACTCAGTCTGCACAGATTGAAGGGGAAGTCTTGTCTAGGAACCCATTAGAACATCATCATGGAAAAGAATAAATCTGCGCTGAACACAATTTCCCAAAACTTTGGTCTTTTGGGCAATTATGAAGGCTGTTGTTTCTGCAAAGGGTGATTTAACAATTGTGGAGAATCTAAAAATGTATGTAAATATGATTTATGTATATTTTTTATACTAATAAATATGAAAGATTTAAAGGTGCGAAACACTTGTTTAATCTATTGCAGTGGTCTCTAGTAGGAATAAATGCCCTTTAAGTCGTACTTGTGGGGAACATAAACACATTTCCTGGAATTAGAAGTGAGCCACATCACAGCTGAGACAGCAGGTTTTGGAGTCTTATTAACTGATATGTGGACATCTCATCTTGGATTGGATAACAGCACCGCAACTCTACCACTGACTTGCATCATGGATGTTTTATCTCCACAAATAGCAAAAGCTTGGAGAAACGTCTGCTGTGTGGTGAACTTGCTAATGCTAATAGTTAGCTTCTGCTAGCTGAAACATTCGCTGCTGTTTCCTGGATTCCAAACCAACAATAGCTTTCCCTGTCGTGAGTCAAGATGGGTGAGTCCATGAATGTTAAGTGACATTGTGACAGAGCTGTCAGGCTTTTCATATCCAATTTTTTCACCATCTAATTTCTACCAGAAGCTAAAGCAGGAGTTAGGCATAGGAGACTGTTTTCATGTTCAACCTGCTTGAAAAACTCAGAGTGACTGATTATAATCAGAAATAAGATTTTAAAAATGTTTTTTCAGTGTTCCACACCTTTAAAATTAATCTTTTGTCAGTAGGAAGATTTTTGTTTCAACAAAAGACAACTAAAAGAAACAACTAAAAGAAACAATTTGACCATTTAAGGTTGAAAATTAAACACAAAAACTAAAAACTAAAAAAACATCAGAACAAAATCACACCAACTAGTGGTAACAGG